ATATGGTCTTCTTCATACATTTCTTTCATTACCAATATGAATTCTTCTTTTATTATGTCCCAGCATTTTTTGTAAAATTCTATTTCCAGACCATCTGGTCCTGGAGTTTTTCCATCTTTAAAACTTTTAATAGTTTGAAATATTTCTTCTTTTTCTATATTTTATTGTAATATTTCATTTTCTTCTTGTTGCACTTTTCTCTCTGTTGTTGGTATCCTATTTAAAAAATATATTATGTAGTGTCTCATTGCATTCAACTTTACTATATAGTTCTTTGTAAAAGTCTGTTACAATATTCATTTTGTCCTCAAGTTTATTTTGTATTGTGCCGTTTTTGTCTTTCAATTTTCTAATTGTTGTTTTCCTATGTCTGGTTTTCAATTGTTTGAAAAAGGATTTAGTACACTTTTCGTGATTAGTTAGTAGTAGTCATATTTTTCTGCAGTATTTTGGATTAATAGTTTTTTATCTTTCTCTTTTGTTTTTTTGATTATTTCACTTTTCTTTTTATTTAGCAAGGTCAAAACTATTTCTCCATTATCCAAATTTTCCTTAAGTTCTTGTAATTTTTCCATATCTTTTTTATGTTCCTCTTTTTCTGCTCTGGACATCTTGACAGAAAATTCAATTACTAGGTCTTTTATTTTTTGTTTTATCTCTATCCACCATGACGCCTTGGATTCAAACAGCCATTGTATTTTTTCCAGTTATCCCATTTATGTTTCAGTTCTATCATAAAATCATTATTTTCATAAACTTTAACATTGTTTTTCCAATATCCTCTATCTCTTTCTTCCATTGTTGTGTCTACTTCAACTTCAATTATGTATTTATCATGATCAGAAAAAATTGTGGGACTGCATTTATAATCTCCAGTTTTACATCCATTTTTAGTACAGTAAAATCTGTCCAATCTTGCTTGAACCATGTTGTTACGCCAAGTAAAAAAGGGATTCGCATTTGTAAACCATTCAATGGAATCAGCTAACTGAAATACTTTTATCAATTGATCAAGAGACTCAGAAATATATTCTCTACATGGTCCCAAAACGGTCCCTATCAACATCATCAACACAATTTGTGTCTCCCCCTAAAAATACATTGAATGGTGAATACACAAAACGATATAATTTATCATAAAACACTTCTTGCGTCTTACTACAGTTCTACATGGGGCATATATATTTACTAAATGTATCACTTCACCACATATATTTATATCTGTAGCAAGTACCCTTCCCTCCCATGAAATATTTTCAAATTTATGATAAGCCAATTTTGATTTCAGTAATATTGCTACACCACGAGAATTAGATAGCCCCGAATTCCATAATGAATTTCCTCATTTCCAATCCCTACTCCATTTACATTTCTATAGCATTGGTACTATGAGTCTCTTGAATAAATATAATGTCTGCTTTTTGATTAGATAATTCCATAAATAAACTTTTTCTTTTCTGATCATCACGAATTCCATTAACGTTTAAAGTTAGCATTGTTATGTATATCACCATCAGTTTTTTTTTATATATATTTTGCTAGTTTCTTATAAAATTTTAGCTTGTTTCCATATTTTCATCTACTTCATTCCTTCATTGTAATTTCATTACTGGTTTTTGTTGTCTTTTGCTTGTTTTTTTCTAACTGGACTATGTGATATATCACCTTGTTTGTCATCTTCCAATTTTCGTTTCTTATGTATAATATAGTGCTTCCTGAGGTGTAGGTATTTTCACAATCTGTTTCTTTATCTTTCCTTAATTGTATACTTCGTTGCTCTATTTCTTGTTCATCACTGTCATCAGTACTAATTTTCGACAAGTTTCCAAACATTTGAGCCCTGATGTCTATTTTTTCTTTTTCTCTTGTAGTTTCATTTGGTGTTCTCTGTCCATCATTAGGTTTCATTTCATCTGGTTTGTTCTTCATCTTTGTATGGTTCTGTTTTGTTTCAATATCATCACTTGATTTTTCTTTAAGGCTTGATAAACTGTATTCAGTGGATGATTCAATCACTACCGGTACGTCTTTTTCTTTACTTGCTGAATCAGGATATTCGGAGGAATTTCCCAGCAGCACTGCATTTTCTTCATTCATGGAATTGTCATACTCGGTTGGCGATTCATTTACTACACCATTCTGTTCGTTATTTTCGCTTCATACTATTCATTGTTTGGGTCCTTTCTTGATTTTTTTGTTTTTCATTGAAGTTTCTATATCTTTCTAATTTTGGGATATAGTACTCACAATTTTCCATCATCCTTTCGCATTTTCTACGGCGTTTTAGAACGCGCTACGTTTGGACGGCGAAGTGTTCCTACATCCGGCGCGGCGGTGTGGCTCAACGGGCTAAGCGTTAGGAATACGCTCGCCACCGCACCTCTAACCACTCTGCGTGGGTTCGCAGGTTCGAATCCCATGCAGGGATGGTTATGTGCGAGAGGATTGCTGGACTCCTCGCCGTCGTTGGGTGGTTCACGTAACCGCTGGTCGGTTACGGCTTCCTCCACCACCAAGTCCATGCTTCCGAAAAGAAACAATACAGTAAATCTAATCCCATACCCGACTTGGAATGGTAACCGGACGAGAGGCCGTGGTTCGCCATATGAATAAGCCGTCTTATCGGCTTTCCTCTCCCCCGGGATAAATATGTAAATCCTATCCTATCCTATCCTATCCTAATGAGGCAGTTCCGTCTACCGTATTGTTCGAGATTGTCCATTTTCATCTCATTTTTTTTTTAATTTTCTCAACTAACGATTTTATTTTAATATTTTCGGATGCCAATTGCTTTAGTTCTTCTATTGATGATGTAGATGAACTGAAAGATGCTTTGCTTCTTGGCTTTGATTTAAGGATATTGACCGATAGATGTTTGCCTTGCGTCCATCAGAAGTCTATCTTCGAGAGATTTCTGCTTCATTTGAATGATGTCCAGCTTTTGCAGTATACTGGTGTCAACGGAAGCTGAGCTGATTCCTTGTACGTCTGCCATTTTATTTGATATAAACTGACTAACTATAAAGCGTTGAGTGGCGAAATCGACGATATGCTGATACAGTATTAAGATAACAAAGTCAGCTAGACTAGCGACGCTTCAGCAACTCATTAATTGTACAAACGAGAGAAGAGAAAGTACGTCCGTCTCTCAGCGCGTCAACTTGTCATGAGTAAGGTGTAATATCGAGCCTAACCCTAATGATAAGGCAAGTGGATTGTGGATATGAGACAGGAGTTCAAATACATTCGACTGATTTGTGAAAGATGATATCATGCTATGAATGCCACAAACTCAAGTTGTATCATTGTCTTCTTGACTTCTCTGTGGGATGTAGAAATAATGGCACCTATAATCTAAAATAGTCCCATGCCTATTTAGGCCGCTGAACAAACCACGCGGAAGTGGAAAGATAAGGTTAGCGTTATTAATTACAGTCTGTTGTCTGGTTATTAAAAGGGGAGATAAGAAATTGAAATTATTGCACATTTGCCGCACAATTTTCAGGAAAACTGCCACATTCCAATGCTGCAATGGTGTGATTAGATCATTAGACGCTGGCCTGCGGGCCATATGTGGCCCATCGCTCCATTATCTGTGGCCCGCGCTGCATTCGTAGAGTAATCAAAATGTTGTATTTTAAATTGCTTCTCATGAAATAAATCAGAAAAATCGTTTGACATATTGTTGTTAAATCACTACTGCTGTACTGTGACTGAGTTGACTAGTATGATGGCTAGCTGAAGCAACTGGCGAAGTTGAAGATGTGATGGGCAGTCCAAATTGTTACCTGGAATTCTATCGTTTTGGTCGGGAAGAAGAAGTGCTTGTTTTCTATTGCACTGTTTACCTATTCTTGGTACTATTGCAGTATTGTGGCCCGCGATCTATGCCAAAATAATTGTGTGGCCCGCGGAGCCCACAACCTTGGACCACCCTGATGTAGGATGACCATTCTGTCATTTCAAACCAGCTATCACAAAACTTTTAGGTAGGCCTATTCAATAACAAAGTACAAAAATCGCGTATCTTTAGCTATATACTTCCTATCTAAAAAAAAAGCTATCACTGTCTGTATTGATAGCATATTAAATAGGAGTAAAATAGTAAAAGTAACTTTTCACTGCTCTATCAAATGAAAATTAAACCATGATCTGATGATGCTATTGTTTAATTAGATCTCAAAAAAAAATTCCATACTTTACTGTCGTAGGATTTCAAATGCCTATTTTAAGATATTGTTTCTAATCTGTATTTTAATTGTTTCAACTACTGCTTTGAAGTTATTATGGTATTCCGAGAGAAAATTGCAACTTTGATTTAATTTTTTTTTATCAAGTCGGTGAGTGATGAACCCTAAAATCCAAAGTGGATGGGAATGAGAAATGATAAAACCACATTATCATATTATTAAATTCATAATTGGTCTGCATCATTAGTTCATCTCACTTTTATATTCGTAATATGGGTTGAAAAGGCTAACAAATTGTAGATTTATAGGTCAGTATATAGCTTGAAACAGTGTTTTCCAAACTTTCCTGATCCGCGGGCCCCATCAACATTTCGTAGCTTGCTGCACTTCAATGAAAAATAATTTGTATTTTATGCTCAATGTCAAGTTTAATTATAAAAAAGCCAACAATAATGTAAAACAAATTACTTTATATGTAGGCTAAGTAGTCATTTCTGATGGCCCCCCAAAAAACGCACTGTAGCACCATAGAGGTGCAAAGGGCCCCATTTATAAGGACCTAGACTTATAATATTGACATCTAATTCCTACTGCACTGCTGTCTGGCATTGTTTAATTCAAATTTCAGATCTCTATCAATATTTAAGCCTGGGTACTTCTGAAGTACAGAAGTATGCGCACCGAGATGTCGCATAATCTGAACCCTAACCTGGTACACAATCTTAGTTCAGGTTGTGCGTCATCTTGGTGCGCATACCTCAGGAGGTCCAAAGTACTTCTAAAATTTAAATATTTGCACAATTTACAAATTTCTTGCATAGTTTATTTAGCTATAGTTACTTCATTGAAGTTAATATTTGACTGATGCATTATTTGTATATTTAGGTCTTCAACCTGATATTCTAATATTTTTATCATCATTAGACTATACTACCATGTTATGCTGTACATGTCGCATGATAAAAAATATTTTGAATATGAGAAGAAATGTTATACTGCTGGTGTCAGTTCTAGTCATAGGAATTTTTGGAACTTTTCAATTATTTGATTACACAAAACTATGCAAAGTTACATTGGATAGTTCCTCACAAAATAAGAGGCATAAACACAATGATAACATTGATTTGGACACATTGGCTGAACTTAAAAAAAGATGGATTCTTGAGTATGAGGAAGAAAAGAAAATGAATGATAATAGGAACCTTATTGATAGGGCGGAACCACAAAAAGCTGGCGGCAAGCAACCAACATCTTCCTTATTTATTCCAATACATTGCCATATTAATGGTGACTATAATGTTGATTGCCTGAGACAGAAAGACACTGATGATATTTATATGCCGTGGACTTTTCTTGAAAAATATTACGAAGTTTATGGAAAGCTTAATCATTATGATGGATATGATCGTTTCGAGTTTTTTCAAAGTTATAACCAGGTATTTTTTTTGTAATTATATATGAATAACTGAAATATAAAACCTTTCGATAATATACCATCCCACAGGGCTGTAGTTTCAGTTTGGCATGTTTTTTTCTCAGTCAGGACTGGAGTCGAGTTTTCAAATTGCCCGCAGTTGGATTCAAAATTTACTTCAGAAATTCAAGAAGCATCAAATTAATGAGGACTCCTAACAGTCCTATTAAAGAAGGCCTGCACACATCAATTTTTATCTTATCAATATTTGATTTTCTCATAGTTCAGGGCTGTAGTCAAAGTCTAAATTTTTCATGTCCCACTTCTTTTCTCAACCCATAGTCAGTTATGAATTTTTCCCAGATCTACAGCCAGGCTATTTAATATCAAAACAAGCACATGCATATAAGATTCAAACACTTTCTGATATTTATTGATGTCAAGTGCTACTGTGCTAGTGTGAATGTTACTATCAAATGCGAATGTACAATGCATTGATTGACTGATATTGATATCATTCATTAATATACATCCTCATACTCTTATAGTAATCAAATTTAAAGTTTATAACATATCATGATGTGACTGTATTGATCATTACCTAGAAAGGGGGGAAACAATGTTTTGAGAAAACAACGATTAAAGTTTTTCAATCAGTGCAAAAACATTATGATAGAGAATAAATTTGTTTTTCTCTGATTCCCAAAGTAGTATTTATAGCATTTCATAATGCGAATAGCTAATACAATGGAGCAAAGAAAGATTTTGGGTCCATGAGCTTAGTATTCATAATATGAAATAAAGAAAATGAAACTCTGCGTCATTGTGGATTATGCCACAATTCGAAAAAATCGAGGGTTTTTCTATAAACCAAGCAATATGGAATAGCTTTCATTGAAAACCTCATATTATCGAATGACTTTATTTACTCCCAAAATTGTTAATGTTATTTATCCAAGTTCAATGGAAAGTTTGTTCTTGAGTTTCTCGTCTGTGCTGAATAAGTTACTGACATGAAATATCATGTTCGGAATTCAAAGTTGTGTCTAACATAACATCTTCTACTTGTTTCATATAAAGTAATATAAAATTTCCAAGCAAATCGTAACGGTTCATAAAGAACTGAAAAAATTGACAACCACCGATTAACTTTTTGTCTATGTCTAATATGATCATCTAGATTTTGTCTTTATTGTATCTTGGATTGACCTGAACTTCTCGCCATTACATAAATACATGCTCATTTTGTTGCGAACATGGACTATCGCTATTTGTGACTCTTCTTTAATATGCATCCTATTTTGAGATTAGAAGTTATTTATTGATGTTTTAGGTGTTGTATGATGTCAACAAAAAATACAAATATGATGGAGTATTTCTTACATTTGAAACATACAATGTGGAAATTAGAGACAGAGTAAAACTTATTACAGGAATTGAAGGTATTATTGAACAATTTCGGTGTGATAGTTACAGCGATGTCACTAACTATTTTTCACTCAAATTAAAATCTTTGTTTCAATTACCATGTCCACCACTTTACCCAAAGGTAAATAAATTGGGGAGGAAATGCCGAACCAGAACCACCCCTGGCCCTTCCAAAATTAGTAGTTGATCATGCATCACTGGCTGAGTGAAGGTGTAAGAATATCTCATGAAAAAGAACAGTTGTTGTTGTCCATGATGAGAAAGTAAACAAATTGTGCCTGTGATGATAAATACTTTTTATTTCGAGTTTTTTGAAAAAGTTTGTTTACACCAAGATTGCATTTTTCGTTGCGTCTATTATTATTTCAATTTATTCTTGATATTCTGTGTCATTTTGGATCTGAAAAATTTGTAACTTTTTTTAATTGTAGCTCTATTACGTTCTTGTTTTTTTTTCTGCCACAGGTGTTCCTTTATCAACACAATGGGGCCCACAGGGTTATTTTTACCCCATTCAAATTGCACAGTTTGGGTTGAGCCACTTCAGCAAAAACATAACTGAGAAACCACCAAGCAAAACTATATATGAAGATGGTGAAATGACAGTTCAGGTAATACTAAATCACTGGGAAATAAATGTAAACTGAAAAAAACTAGTTGTAGTATATAAATCAAAACATCATCCGAGAGAGCATTCAGTGAGTTGCAATTCACAAGGATCTTTAATTTTTATGGCTTATAAGCTTGACATCAATAATCGTGAAATTCTGAAAAAAATTGAACTCGACTTGCTTAACGTTTGCATTGAGAATTTATGTTTCTGGTTGGGCCTTACCAATTTTGTGCAGAGTGCGATGGAATGTGCCTCTGCTCTCTGTATTAACCTTAGTGAAATAATAAATATTGACAAAATCCATTGCTTCATTCAAGGCTAAATGGGAACCTACCAGAGAACATTGTAAAGTAGAAAATATTGTTAACACTGAACGAAACACAAGAGTGATAAAGTTTGATACACCAGGTAAGAGAATTTCCCTAAATTCAAAACTGTTGTTAATTTACTTTTTATCATTTTTTCATGGAAATTTGCTCAAAGCAATGTCAAATGCATTAACGCTGAGCAACTCATAGGTAATACTGAATTGCCAAAGCCTAATTCTACAGAGAACTGTAGCATAGAATTATGTGTTAGGAAATACAAATAGACGCCAAATGGAAAGTGATTTAGATCAATACATTCAGGAAAACGACTATGAGGAAACGAGTTCCCCATAAATGAAGTTATAGGAAACAAACTTGCAGTAATAGCAAAGCATATACGGTAGGTTGTTTACACTGTCACTGCTATGATGAAGTATTGAATGCAGGACTATTATTAGGCTTACTTAAGAAATCTCATGTGAGGAAGATTTCTGACTAATACTTTCATTTACATCTAGCTCGTTAAAATATAGTCTGTTTTTGTTAACGAATGTAGGTAGAACTGTTTAGAAAAAAGTAAACAGTAATATTCAAGGTTGAATGACCTGTTTCACTCACTAATATCAAACAATTGTATTTATGTAAATATCAGCATTTTATACAAGACATAAAGGTCATTTTCTCTGATCTTTCATACACTGTTATTTGAAAGGCATTTCAAGTTATAGCCTAACAAATTCAATGGTAGTTGTTGACTGTAAACTCAATATTTATTTCTTCATATTGCTGACATCTGATTTGGTTTGTTTGTAGATTATTTATTTGACTCTGTCGTGATGCTACTACTCTACTAATTTTGTCACTATATGCCTGCTGTTTTTCATGATTCCCATTAGGCTTGCACGTAATTGACAAAAATCAATTCCGTAATTACGGCAAAATCAATTACGTAATGACCCCGTAATTGCGATATTTTTCCACGCATTTAAACCTATCGTAACAACCCATTGAATCCACTTTTTTCCGAATGGGACATTGAAGTTGGGTTTTCCTATTCTTGGCAGTACTACACGCCGGCGGCAGATTTTAAAGACAACTATCAAGGAGTGAATTCAAATTAATTTTATTCTGATTTTTATCTTTTGTGTTAGCTTTGGTTTTTCTTTATCACCTTCGCAAATTAACCGTCCCATTTTTATGCGATCAATTTTATTTTATCATTACCGACACTGGTATACGGATATTTATGGAAACGATAGTTTTTCAAAACCACCTTAGTACTGAATAAAAATTACGGGTTTCTAATTTATTAACCAACGACGAGCGTATTCTCTCATTTGATTATACTTGCGATATCCTCGCGACGAAGACTTGTTTTTGCAGCGTTTTCTGCATTATCCGACATTACTGCCTTGTTAGCATTTTTATAATAATAATCATTGATGTCGACTTATTGACGATATTCCGATTACCATGCTTCATTTTACATTCAATCATTTCGCGGACTGAATGTTTATAACATTATTTGCGATAAATTTAGATCAAATATTATTTATTTGCGTATAATTTAAATACCGAACTTATATGACATGCCTTCTCCGGAATTACATAGTTATATCGCAAAACAATGCATTTTGTGACATTTATTTTACACTCACAACATTTATTTGCTAACTCAAGTCGGCGATCCTATCGGCCAAGATTGACAAAAGTTTGGTCGAGTGCCGGTGGTATTCAAGTCGACGATAAATCAAAATAAGTTGCCGCATTTGGTAAGACAGTTAATCATATATGGCCGAAATATTGAGAGGAATTGTGAAAAACATCATGAGCAAGGCCAAGTCCGGACTGATATATAACGATAAAACCGTAAACAGAACATCAAGATTTTGTAATAGAAAATGGATCTCGCACAGAATAAACACACAGGCTCATATTTGAATATATACGATAGCAGTTAAAATTTCAACGGTCCGCGAGGAATCCGTCGTTTTGGTTCATTACGCAATCTCTCTTTTGTCGTCATATTGCTATTTGATAAGCGTGGCATTAATTATCACGGCGAGGTATTGGCGCGAGTGATCAATCGCTATTTTCGCTTATTTGGTTCCAATTCGTCGCGAAAGCTCTTCGTTAACTTTCACAAGATCGTCGTGTTGAAAGGTTATGGATATTTTCCTGTTTATACCCCAAGTCTGAAATGAAACAGCCAAAAACAATATGATATTCCATGTTCATATATCAAGTGTTGATATTAACAATAAAGAATGGTTAAGCATTGCTAATCCACACTTGGTGGGGAATTCCCACTATTCAAACGCGTGACTATAAAATAGAATAAAATAGAAACGGAACATATATACCATAAGTAACGGAAAACTGGAACAAGTAAATAATAAATAAAAGTAAAATGGATACAAATGTTTAATAGACCATGTTTGATAGATTGATCTCCTGCGTTCATTAGTCATTTCACCCGAAGAAGTTGAAACCGGGCGTGTTAGCGTCCATCGGTCTTAACACAATTCTTCCCCCTATCTACGGTTATTATGTACATTGGCCATGGTCATGCTAGATAAGATGCGAGAGAAATTGAAACCAGGTGTGTTGGCGTCAAACGGCCCTACTCAGTTCTTCCCCCATTAACTACGGTATGAATTTACATTGGCCACGCCAGACAAGTTGATAATAGGTTAGTAAATGGCAACGCGTCATGCGTTCACCTACGTAACAAGAGAGAGAAAAACGGCTGCGAATACCGGAACTCTAACTTTTTCTACTTGTTGAGCTTTCATTTTTCGCAATCGACGAAATTGACTGCTTTGAAGAAAGCTCGTTTCAATGCAATAATTACGACTTTACGTAATTCGTAACTTCCCTTCCGTAACTCCAAATAATTACGTAATTCCGTAAATCCGTAAATTACGTGCAAGCCTAATTCCCATCATTGCATACCATTCTCTTCTTGCAGATGGATTGTCATACGGAAGTGGAATTGCTCTTACTCTTGGAAATACAGTAGACTTTGAGCTTTCATTCGATATTAAATTCATCACAAATGGTTCATTATCTGTACTATTGGATACAACTGTCAAAAAACAGTATTACATTCATTATGTTACTGACAGGTAAGAATGCTTGTCAGTTGGCTTTTTCTATTTAATTCAAGAGTCTTGCTGCACACTAACACAAATGTATTTCTGTAACGTTTCGTCTGACATTGACACCGTGTGTAAGGTGTAACAATTTCAATAATGAATAAGGAGCATAAATTTCCTCCCAAAAAGATTCCATAACACTGGTACTTGCCTTTATTTCTGTAGTTTGGGAGTAGTGAATGATTTTTATCTGTTTTGCAATTGATCACAATGGGATCTAAATTACAAGCATACATGTAAATTGATGTAATTCAAGTTGTAAATTGATTGTTCATTGACGTTATTTTTGGCTTCAAAGCTTCTTGGCAATTTGAACAAGCATCTACAGTTTAATCACTTCTGCCCTCGGCCTCTAATATATTTTGTTACATTGTTTTAATACTGAAACTATTGAGCATGGTTTCGATGAAATACCTCATAAAAATTACCTTCATAATTCTTTTACAGGACTCTGATAAAGTATGATAAGGACTCTAACATTGTGATTGGAATTGGTGAAAGTATGAACTGGAGACATATATCACGACATTTAGTAACTGATTTGAAAAAGGGAGTTGGCATTACGAAGACAAAATCTGTGAAGAAAACTAAAATTGGTATCAGAAAGGTAATTTTTTTCATTTCATGGTAAATGCTAGTAAGTTTAGACTGGAGTGCATCAATCAAATTGGTCAAAACTACAGACAATCTCAATCGGCAGATATACATATTCATAGTGTGTACTTTGAACCGTAATAAATCGCATTTTTGGAATGCTATATTTTTATATAATTTAAACTTTCTTTCGAAAATTGTCATTTTGAGCAATTGAAGTTTCATAACCTAAAACATCTTCAATTGACTTTTGAAAACTAAGTCGAAAACCAGTTCAATCACTGTTTTGGCTTTCATGCATTGGCTCTGGTGTTGCAACATATTGGTTTGTGTTCGAATTGTCACCTTATAAAAACTAATATGGGTAATATGTTTTCCAATTTTAGCCATCCCTGGTTATAGGATTGCTCGTAGATATGTAGGTTGTGTTTACTTCTATTTCTGGCAATTGGACCCGGTGATTTTTATATGTTGCTAAACTGTGCGGCAATTTATTTATAGATAAATGTATTAATCCTTCCTTAGACATTTTCCTAGTTTTCTACTTGATATTCTTTTGCTTCTAGGTAGTGAAGTTGATACTTCGGGGTCAAGGATATATTGATAATATCACAATATCAACTTCTGATCACATGACTCATTTTCTGGGTGCAAGTTACTGGTTATTGGAAAACCAGGATCATTCATCTGGAGGTTGGCCGATCATGGTCGAGCGTAAATTTGATGGGTTCACAGATCTTCCTCCTGGTTGGCATTCCGCTATGGCCCAAGGTCACGGATTGTCGACCATGGTGAGAGCTTTCAAATATACCAGAAATAGCAGCTTTCTGTCAGCTTTGCGAAAAGCACTAAAGCCGTACACAGTTCTATCTGCGGAAGGTGGGGTAAAAGCTGTTTTTATGAACAAGTACGTGTGGTATGAAGAGTACCCCACAACCCCAGGAAGTTTTGTATTAAATGGTTTTATATATTCGTTATTGGGACTTTATGATTATAAAATGTTGCTGTTTAAAGAAAAATCTCGTGGTTCCGCTTTAAACAAAGAAGATGAAATCTCATTTGAACTCGTTACAAAACTTTATAATGAAGGAATGACTTCTCTAAAAAACATGTTGCCTTTATATGATGGAGGCTCTAGGACTTTTTACGACTTGAGACATTTTCAATTAAAATCACAGCCCAATATTGCTAGATGGGATTATCATACGACACATATGAGCCAGTTGGCACTTTTATCTACAATCGATGATGATCCCATATTCAAAAGGTTTTATGAGTATTGGCATAATTATCTCAAGGGAATACCTGCCAAGCATAATTGATTGATTGTACGCTTTTTGAAAGAGCAGAAAAATGCTGCGCTGGCAATTGTCAAAAGCCAATGCTGGCAATGAAAGGGATGAAATTGATTGTTATTCAGAATAAGAGCCTAATATGTCTTCACTATATTGTATTCAAACATTCCTGCTATTTATGGAATAAGATTAATGTAAAATGTTTTTAGTACATGGAGGTTGGAGACACTTATTTATAAGCTGGCATCAACTGTGTGACTGATCGTTTCAAAAAATCTGTTAAAACACATCCTTTTCATATACCTTTTGAAGTTAAGTTATGTGAAATTCATTACCTCCTAGCTGTGTTACCTACTTCAAGCATCACCTCTCTCAATATTAAGTAGCAAAAAATATACATAATAAACTGCCACAAAGTTGATGAATTTAACTAGCCGCTCGTAATCAAAGCACTCCAACAACAATTGGAGTGTGAAAATAATTATCTACAATTTGCGTCGACATACCTTTTTCGCTTTGTGCATGTCAAAACAGCAGCTTCAGTATTATTTAGCCAATTTTTTTATGAAATTTTTATATTTACAATTGAACTGTTTCCATCCACTGATCACACATGCAAAACAATGTGCACCAAATTGTTAAAAAAAATAAAATGGAACAGTACAATATGGATCTTGTTATTGAGTTGTGGGTCCTGCGTTTACTTCAGGGAGTTGCGGTAATTTGCTGTCTGAACTCAACTGAGATGGGAGTTTTATTGCTTTTGTTCGCAACCTATATGAGACTGTCCGTAGCTTGAGGTAAATTTTTTTTCATGTAGCGCTTATTCATGCCCTTTGCTCTGAGAAAGGCCGTGTTAAATCTTTTTTATGTGGTGCTCATTAACTCCTGCTCTGAGCAAGTTCCTGTACAACCAACCACTGATATTTATCATATTAAAATTCACGGATCAGCACATAAAAACAACAACAACAAAGATCAGAAAAAATAAAGCTCAGTTACTTTTAATGTGGTAACTTGCAGCTATTTTGGTCGAGGTTGTAATTCGGACACTGACAAACTAACATTGGATCGATTCTCGAACATGTATTTTGACAAAACTTGAAATCAGTTAATTAAGCACGAATATTCATTTAGATAACAGTAAACAAAAAGAAGAAAGCAATTGCCAAAACCTGTTTATTTGTAATCTGTAAGGCATCGAAGGCATGGCTGAAGTAACTTGATGTAGTTATTATGAAACTAAAAACTATTAGAAGTGTTTTATGTAAATCTTTTGATGGAATAGCGTCATGAGACTTCCATTTCTTTTTTCGCTATACTCCTGATGAATAAAAGAAGACTTTTTAAAAATGTATTTACAAATTTTATTTTCAAACTCCAAATATAGTATAAAAACAAATAATAAAGATTGTACACTGTATACACGCAAAACATTGGATCACAGATTATTCTGGAGAATTACTGACAAGGTTTATAGATAATTTTATCATGAAAGAGTAGGTGATGAGCAAAAATTCATAGATCTTAGAAATATTGAGATACTTGCGTTTATGAATAGAGCACTCTTGGTTTAAAAAAAGATACAGTTTACATACATAAAAACAGGTCTGCTCAGTACAATTAAAAATCTGTCTTCAACTGAAAAATTGAAGGCAGCAACAACTTCGTCAAGCTATACGGTAGCCTATAACTGTATAATGAGACTGACGTTTCTGAACAATGTTGCAATGACTTTAAAAATAGACTCTAAAATGGTAAATATTTAAGTAAACTAGACGCTAAAAACATTGCCAAATCATCACTGACAAAATAACAGCATTTCCTTGTTAATTGAGATATGGGCCCTAGATAAAAATCCGCACTTTCATAAGTGGAAGTGTCCAATATTTTATTCTGTTGCCTCTTCTGAAGGCTCATATTTTTCAAGTCTACTTTTAAGTTCTGCATTTTCATCTGTGAGTTGTGATACTTTCCCCCTGAGTTCGCTAACCTCTAATCGTAGGGACTCCACATCAGCAGTTTCAGGTCCTGCTGCTCCAAGATGTTGACGGAGAAATTCCAGTGCCTGTGAAGGTTTTTCAGGCTCCTCGTAAAGATTCACTAAAACCTTTGTTAGGGCGTCTACCACGCCTGACTGTTCAAGATATTTCCGGAATTCTTCTCTTTTCGAATCTGCAGCTCGATAAGTCGTCATATTGCGGCTCCGATTGAATACACAGTCCAGTAACGAAGAAATCGCGTAGGAAAAGCGACGTGAAACGAAAACAACGGAAGAGATTATCGCCAAGACGACGATGACTATTGTTGGCGCGATGGGGTCAGAGGTTATTTCTCAGGTTGTCAGATGAAAAGATATGAGAGAGAGAGAGAGATTTATTATTTGTCAACCAGAAAAAACAAATACAATTATTATAATAAATATAAAGTAATAGGAATAACGTATCTTCGGTATGGACTGGAGGGAGCCATACGACCATACGGTCATCAGAGTCAGCTCCCACCATGTTCGCACTAATTGAAATAAGTTCACAGTGAAAATACTTATTAATATAAAGCGGTTATAAATTCTAGAATTTTGTATCTTTGGGAAAAAAAGGGAAACTCGACCAAGGGTTTTGTCTGTTCTTAAATGACAAAAGTTCGAGTAATAAATTTTTTCGAGTGAAATTTTTTTTAGCGGAAATAAAATAATATAGTTAAACGAAATAAATATTGAGACGGTCATTTCCCATGTTCAAACTGCAGTTGAAGTTTTGGTAACTTTTTGCTATGTGTTGCCATTCAAACGTTTGATTGGAAATTGTTCAAAAAGTATGATCTTGTCTTGTCTGTCGCTAAAATCAGAAGCACAACAAAGCCTAGTCAGAAAATTATGCTATACATATGATGGCGCACCTTTCACTGACTTTAGCTGTAACTTTTAGTATCAAGCACTGCATGCAGGACGAACGACTTGCAGGCCATTCTTGAAATGATTCTTTTCTATTTATTGAACCGGATTCCTACACCCTCAAATCTCGTTTACAATGTAGAAAATACACAGAGTTCGCCGTAAAAACACATTAATTTCATTTGTTTTATTTTATTGGATAATGATGGAATACAAAGAATCAAAAGACCACACTAGAACTAACACAATGAACGGTATTGAACATAAATAAGAATAATAATAACTAATTACATAAAACATTTTTTGAAGAGGGAATCCGTGGACAGTAAGTACGATACAAAAGATAACCTGTTCTTAAAATTTTCAATCCCACTGGTGATAACGCTATATAATAATATACAAGATTCGATAAAACACAGTTTTCTACATATCAACATTTTTTCACAGTAACATATACATTTGGCAATTTACACATCAAAGTCACTCGTTTAGTATGAAATTTTCCATTTTAGTCTGAAATAATGAAATGTACTACTCTTTTTTATTCTAAATTAAACAATTGCACATGAAAATAATAATCTCATCAACTCTCATTTTGATACTATTGCCAACAATGCCTATGTTATCACCCTGCTTCAGCTCTGATTTCTTCAGTTGTTGTCACCATTTTTTGAAATATGGTTTCTGCTTCAGTAGGAGAAATATCAATCTCAACATTTGAAACATATCGCTGATTAAATATGTTCACAGCACTCTCATATTGGTAATTTTTTTCCAAATTTCGTGGATCTTGTTTGAACAACCAGATTAATGATTCAGATCCATTATAAGTAGAAAGTGTCAGATGGTGAGCAACAAGACGAAACTATAAGGTAAACAAATATTATTACTGGTAAAACCGATTATTTGTGACTTTCTAAGTGTCCAACATGGCCAAAATGATGAAAAATAACCAGTCCCATTTGAATTTACCATGTAAATTTGAGATCGAAGTGAATCAATTCCCGGTTGAGAATAATAGTGATAGTTTTATGGTTCTATTGGACCAGGGGTGCACAACACATGATCACTTTGGCATGTCATAGGCTCGAACAAAGCGTGAACACTGAACAGTTTGGTAAAAAGTAATTCTTGTATTTATAATAAATCCTAACAATTCACGTTTATATCGGAATGAATTCAAATCACACATCACCAGCCCATGGCTGTTACCAAAAGAAAATAGCCAAAAATAAGTAAGTAGACTAGTCTACATACACGGCTAGGTAGATAAAACATGATTTTTTTATTCGGTAATTAACTACTAGAACGTAGAATGAAGACACAGGATTATTTTGAAAACTTTGTCATGTATCCTCATTTGAGTTGTGAACCCTTGGTTTAAACTTTAAAATTTCATCTAAAATATTCAGATTTTTTAAATGCCTCCAGCCAGGACTATTAAAGTCAAGTTTTTCTTATAAAAATAAATAGATAAAATAAATAATTTTCTGGAAAACATCCTTTACTTTCACACTCACAAGCATAAAGAGAAATTCCACAATCTTCCATAACCATAATGGTAATATATTTTCTGACATCGCAGTGATGCAAAGACCAGGTTCGGCGAGGTGGCTATAAATTCCTTCTCTGTTGTATCGCTGATTCATTGCAATGCTCAACGCATTAATAATATATTTTGAACTACCATATGACATGTTCCTGAATAAAGAAAATGATTCTACGCTTACGAAAAACAAAGGCCATTTCTGTTTATAGCAAAATGAAAATTCAATTTTTAAAAATTGAAATACAGTCCCTTATCAGTTAAATATTGTACTAATAAAAACACAGTAAATTCCTGAAAAATTTTACCCATGATTGCACATAAAGTCATCCATGTTAAAACTGCTTTTTACAGCATTGTTAGAAGCTGTCCACACAATTTTAGATTTCTCTTGCCCATCAGATCTAAGAAGAGGCAATAATTCCTGAACCTGAAACAAAGAAATACGGTAATGCATAAGAGTTAATAAAGGATACAGACATATCAAAGAAACAAATCAAACCAATTAAAAAATAGTGTTCCATTGTTAACAAGTTTCAAGCAGATCAAACTCATATTTTTGTTAATAAAAAACTTTTCTCACCAGAACAAAATGTCCCAAAACGTTAGTTGCAAAAACTAGTGGTATTCCAGATTCATTCAATGGATTGGCAGATTCAATGATATTCTCTCCAGTCTTTAACCGAGCTATAACATTCCTATATCAATAATGATAAATTGTTTACACTTGTTACATGTAAACAAAAATACCAACGAATCGATAATAATAAAGTACTTGGCATGACAGAAAAAAGCAATATATTTATGATAATTGCAGTATAAATAAAAATGGAGTCCTCCAAACTTCCCTGCACATACATTTGCACCTGCAATGCCGATACATTTGTATGAAAAAAGGGTACCCACTTAATTTTGGAACCACAAATATTTCACCCTATAATTTGTTACTTATTACAGATAAGTTTAATAAGACTTAAATTGGCTTCACTGTGCTGAACTCACCGGCTGAAAAGACCAGAAATATGAAGTTTTTTCACAGGTAAAATCCCTGCATTCAGATACAAAAAGTCAATTTTCTTATATCTAAAATAGGAAATTGATTAAAATCAGTTTTAAACATGTGGAAATAGGCAGTGAAGAATTAATGAACCTTCCTATAGCGTGTATCTAGAGTAAAACTCACAATACAGAGTATTAAAAAGCAAGCCTGACAATGAGGTAGTTGAAAAGCAATTCAGACAAAAATGTTTAAATAATGTTTTGAATTTGGAGTATTTTGCATAGAAATGCTTTGTAATGTCAAAAGTTATGTAAATATGTACTATTGAATCTATTCTCCTAACCATTCAGTGTAAGGGCCATTTGGAGTTTAAAATTCATGAAAACCACGAGTCTAGTATTTCCAGATTTTCTATTCTAGATCAAATTATACATAGGCTATGATATGACATAATGCATACTTTTCTTTTATGATATTCACTCCTTCTAAAACAGATTTTAAATCTCCAGTATCCATGTTAACAAGTTCGATTTCAGCAGATTTATGCGATGCCAATAAAGTAGAACGAACATATTCTCCCTTTCTCATATTTCGACACAAAATACACACACGAATGAGGAATTGAAGTCTTACTTCAAGAAGAATTCTATGAAGGAAGCTGAGACCAATCCCACTGAAAAAGAATTCATCAACGTGTAATCAATTTTAAAACTGATATAATTATAAATAACATGATAAAAATTGATTCAAACAAAGATGCAAAAGATATAAATTATTAGCAGCTTGTTGCGAAATAGTATATCGGAAATGATAAAATATCGTGTGTATAACTGTATAACATAACGCAATACTATTATAGGGAGAGAGAGAGAGATTTATTATTTTGTCAATCAAAAACAAACAGTTATTAATACGAAAAAAATACATAACACAAATAAAATTGCTTTGGTATTTGCGGGAGGGAGCGATACCACCATGAGGTCGAGGTCAACTCCCACCATATTTGCTGAAGTGATTAATGTTCACATTGAAGATGACTATTAGAAAATTTGGTCTGTTGATTAATACTTAAATTAAAATTAAAAATTCGATGTAATCTCAGGAAACTATTGGGGGAGGACATGTTTTATTGGGAACTCATTTACACAATAAAAGTTCTATATGCTTTACATGATGGGAATAATAATATATACAAACATTCGATGTAAGAAAAGCGTGGAAAAAAAAAATATATACATATATAAACTCTACATCAGTGGATGATGGGCTCGAAAAATGTGGTAAAAATGTATCACCAGAATAACGAAAGATTGTATGCATATTAATAGGATTACTAACATATTTAAGCCAGTAATAAAAAATATTATATGGAAACATAACACAAGGGGAAATTCATTACTTCATTGGTATACAGCTAATTTATGCAGTTATGGCTAACTTTAAACTACAGTGGTACAGTCTGATTACTTTTGTACCATTCAAATGGATTTAGATCAGGGCTTCCTAAACTAGGGGCCCCAATATTAGGGGCCGCAAAGAGAGCACCAATTTTATACAAAGTACTATATCTATTGTACTTTTCCAGAATCTTGATTCGAAATACAATTATTAAAAATGATGTGAAACAAAAATTGCACAATTCCTAATGAACACATCATCATACTGTGTAAATAAGACTTCAGTGTCTTCAATTTTATTTCGAAAATAACACTAGGGCTTATTTTGAAGGGATGCAGAGAATAACGAGATTTTTATTATACAAAATATCTACGATACAAACGAGTTATTCTAGACAGATTTAAAAAGTAGAAAGAGCAGAAATTTCTTGAGTGGAAATTTCTTGCTATCGACTAGGACTCAGTGGTTCTCGAACTTAATTGTATTGTGACGCCCTCCAAAAATATGCTCAAGTTACGACTACCTGTGAAAATATGTATTGATACCTTTCAATATAAGACTTTTTCTGCAAGGAGTTTCATATAAAGGAACAAACAAAACATAACGACAGTCAGTGAAATCATATTTGATGGGCCTTGGTAGAAAAGTTCTCCCTATATGAAAACGAAATCGCAAAGGGGATAGGAGCCCGCAACGCTTTTTGAACCAAGAAAAATAATCTTAATTTACAGAAAACCGAATTTTCAGAATTAAAATTGTAACACCATCACAGGTAAGATCGATAGAATCGTCCCTTTTTTCTGTAAAAGTAGAAGATATGGGTTGTTTGAAAGGTTCACAAATCAAAAAATTTTGCGACGTCCTAGCAAAATTAAAACGATGCACTTCCACGGAATGAGGTCAAAAAACATTGCCCTATAGACTAAGTATTTTTAAAGGGGAGCGCTTATATTAATATAATTTCTAAAATTTCTAAAAAACATATTTTATTTATTGTAAATGTTTTATTGTTTCTCATTGTTGCAAATGATGTGTATACGAATCAAATTCATTTTACTGTTCTATGTTGTGTACGCTCTGTTACGTCAGGTATATTGTTACGTAACAGAAGAGGTAGACCCTACATGCTGCAATTTCGTAGGCTGCCGTTTATTGATTTGCTGAACACGAGTGATTTTTTTAGCATTTTAAAGAAAAACCAGGCAGAGATAAGATAAGTACATATTAACGATGACAAAATTGTGTTTTATTATCAGGCAGCATATTTTTCGTGTAGATGCGCCATGAGTTTTTACCATGATAATTCGGCGCCACACAAACCGCTGTCTTATGCTGAGTTTGATCAATAAGAGTGAACAATTCCGGATAAGGACCATGCCATCGGTGGCCAGAAATCGTAATTCATTATTTAGGCCTGCATAAACAAACATTGAGCCGAGGCTGGACTTGCTAAACAGCAAAAAGTATTCTCATCCATTACACTGAATAATTGAGTAGCGTTAATCTGAATAAATATGTGCTTGTTTTTGTAATTGAGTAGGCCTACTAAAAGTTGAGAATTAGTCTAGCTGTGTCAATAAAACATCAAAAATGCATATTTCGAGCTGTTTAGCAGTATTAACTCGAACAAGGGCCGTAGAAAATTAATATATGGTATTAAAAAGCTCAAAAGCCCTGATCTAGATAATAATAAATGCATGATAGACGAGGCGTTTAGCCAACACACTGATATCCAGTAAATGACAGAAAAGGTGCAATCATACAAGAAGTAAATTAAAAACCCATATCGCAATATCCGCGTGCGGTCATGCCATATAACAGTAAACAAATTTCTTGCAAAAATGCTAGAGAATAAAACTGTTACCTTGTTGCTCCAGTTATTACAAGAACTTTAGTTGGCAACGCCATTTCCCTGCTCTCTACTACTTCACGACCTACCGGTATCTCAGTTCAGCCTTTTGCATTTGTGGCGTCACGTCTCCAACGAAACATCTGGCGGGCGTCATATTCGGGAAAGTACCACTACCAAGTTGAATCGTAGTAGAGAGAGAGAATTTATTGTTTCGTCAAACCAGAAAACACATACAATATATCCCTTTCCATGCGATTTTTATTTTTTATTAAATAATCGTATTTGCTACGCCGACTTTATGCATTTGTACCCCCACAACTAATCGATCGACTAACGAAAAAGTAATGATCCTCTGCTGCCCACTGACGGCTCGTTGGAAAGCTTATTTAAAGAGCTTGCAATTGGCGATTGAAAAATTTTTTTTTTTTTCAAAAGGGGTGGTCTGAGTCACAAACAGGATAGAAAAAAGACATTTTTTTTCTTGGGTGTTGAAACTTCAAGCCGTGATAAAAAATAGAAATATTCGCTAAATCCTTTACTGTTACCGCTTCTTGGTTGGCAAACAATAGCATAATATTACTGTAGCAATTTCGTTATCTAACTCAAAATACTTCGGTAGATGGAAGGGATAATATGTCTTCTATTACCACCCAAAAAACACCGAAATTTGCATAAATCAAAAACACTCCCTCGTTCCGCCGCAAATAAAACTCCCATGGTAAACGAAAGCGAGATTTACCGTCGCTTATGTTAATCTCGAAGAAGGCTTCTTATCAATAAACTAAAACCCGGAAAAACTAGACCAACAGTTTGCGACCGATTGCTAAATAAAACAGTGGAGTACATCAACGTACCCGCCGCAAACTAGCGAGTTTTGTCGTGGGTACGTATACGTGCCCACCGCACGGAAAGGGTTAAATATGATAGCAAATAGATAGTAGTATATATTTACGGTTGAGAGAGAGAGTTTATTTTTATTTGTCAAACATATATTTACGGTCAAACCATGAAACACACAATACATGCATGAATATATAAATAATAATAAAACAAATGCTTTGGTTTAAGACAACGATACGACCTTTTGAGGTCATCAGAGTCTGTAGCCACCCATACAATTATATTATTAGTAATAAAATAAATCATCAGGTACGGTGTAAGGAAATACAATTCCTCTCGTTTATTCATTATATACACTATTTACAAGACTTTCTCATTTTTAAAAACAAGAAATTTCGTGTTGAAAAATACTGTTTTGTAGTATATTTAGTTGAAAGTTTGTTATATATTGCATAGTATCAATAGAAATGCTTGAAGTGAAATTGGTTAACAAGGATACCAAATACTTTGACAATTTGCAATTTTCTTAATAGTACTGAATGTAAGTGGGCATGGATTAACAATGTGCATACATGGGGTAAATTTTATTACAGTATACATAGAATGAATAGAAATATATAAAATTAGGAGCATAAATGGGACCAACCGAATAAGATAAAAATTTATTTTCATAGTACAATTCATCAGTCCAGACCAGGGTCGTCCAACCCGTGGCCCGCGGGTCATATGTGGCCCGCGGAAGCATTTCGAGAGGCCCGCGCTGTATTTTTCCAGAAATAAAAAAAAAATAAAGTGAAATTATTTTTTGATTAATGTAGTATACAAAGATGTGATACAAACGATTTGTTCATTTTCCTTAAATGCGCTCTGCCAGCCCTTTCAAACGAGCTATGAGTGCCATTTTGAATCGAAATCAACTGGGATACATAATCGATACATAAAGATGCCATAGTCGCCTACACACACACTTGGTTTTTTACTACTCTATATGATGTTATCGCAAAATAATCGAAGCCATTTCCAGATTGAGAATTTGTTGATGTTATGTATTGTTCGGGTTGCCAATGTTTTTACGCCCGAAAATAAAAAAGGTGTTTGCAAAAATGGCCTGTCAAGACGGACCATAACTCGTCGTGTTGAAGAGATTGGGAACTCTATAGCAGAAAATGTAATTGCAAAGGCGGGAAAAGCGCTTAACGAAAGCACTGGCATCAAGTTTACTGCTCAGTTGGCGACTTGGCGATCTTTTTTCGGGGAGTTAATGATGATTTGAAATTACCGAAGAGCTCGCAGCCATTTTCCCTGTTAATGGTACGGCTAGAGACGTTGGTTTGTTAGGAGCTGTTATAAAAATGATTAAGCGTCTTGGCTTGTCTTTGACGAAACTTTCGGGAATAACCATTGATGGCGCCCTATATTGGGAAACAACAGTTTTATTGTTCTGATAATTGCGAAACTTCGGTGTGAGGGCATTGTTTGTTATTTCATTAGCCCGTAGCAAAACTAGAACATAACTACCATGTTAAGTGGCCCGCGCAATTATTAGTAAATTACGTGTGGCCCTCCGGCCAAAAAGGTTGGACGACCCTGGTCCAGACCATTCAGGTTTTGCAGTAAAATGTATTAGAGATACAACATATTGGTTCAAGGGTTAATGAAAAAAGTTATTTGGTGGAAAAGAATGGATGTAACAATATTTAACACTGTATGCGTTGATTTGGGACACTTTAGATATAAACATTCGATAATAGTAATTAAATCACAAATAACTTTCTCTATACACAACAGTTGGAACACACGAGGATATATAATAATATATATTTATTATATATACTACAACGGAGAAGCGTGGTATCTGATCGAAATTCGAGGACTGATTCTTCAGAAAGTAATATTAAATAAATATTTACCTAAAAGCTACAGGCTGCTAAAAATTTACCATGGATAAACAGAGGTGCCGAAAATGGATTTAACTGATTTTTGATGACGTGAGTTATTTATCTTAAATTAGACTAGGTCAGGGTTTCCCAAATGTTTTGGCCCGCGGACCGCCACTTGTGAATTCTACTTTTACCAACTTCTGTGCATATCCAACGACCAACTTACAATGTTTCATTTACAAGTTAATTACAACACTACAACAAAAACAACATTTTAGTCGTGATGTTATACTTGGTTAAATGGTAAAAATGCGAAAGAAGAATCACAAATAATATTTGATCAAAAATAATCGCAAATAGTGTTATAACATTAAACGTCTTGTTTTTGAGTTTACATCTTTTGCTTTTCCGAAAAACAAGTAGGTCTCAACCATACCTATTAGTTTGTTCACTTTCTATATAATTTTTCGAGATGACAGATGTGTCGGATTAAAATAGTAGTGTGGTTGAATATTTTGTAAGTAAGGGGGACATGTTTAGTTGTAGTAAAGTAATTGCTTCGCTCTGACCTAGGACGCAATAAAGCAGCCACTGATAGGTATAGTGTGTTCGGATAGATTCCTTTTCTATCGAAAGTATTTTGAGAGATCGTAGGAACAAAAAAATCGAAAATCTAGTAATCGAACTTTTGCATCTAGTATCTTATACAATTTGATGATCAATTTCGCGACGCCCTTATTGGGTACCATGCGCATAAAAGGACAGCAGCCTAGTATTGAAAATACCAATGTACGATTTTTTATTAATATTTTGACCAAAAGTAAAAAATCGCTACCGAATCACACTTTGAATAAATACGCAGGAATGGGCGTCATGTTAAATTTAATAACCAATATATCAACTTATTCCAGCTATGTGGTTATATGCTTTCAAAGTGTACCGAACAGGATGACGTTTATTAATCAACGAGACATTACTGAATCACATTAAAGATGGTAACCGCCATTTTCAAATCACTGAAAAAGATTCTTTTTCATTGGCATCTTTCTCATCGTCTTTTATTTCTGGCCTATATGATGACGTGATGCTAAATCTCCATTTCTGTTTAAAAAGATATATACATGTGTGAATCATTTATAAAAATTTAACACGCGTTTATCTACGGTAAATTCAGACACAAATAGCCCTACAATTCAAGCAAAATGTTATTGAATCACTTAAAATGGTATTTGTTGGAATAATGCATATATTTACATCGGCCGAGTGTGTCGTCATATTCAAATTAATATAGCCCACCTGCTTCCAAGTTCCCTTAATTTGCAACATTGTTATCATTCCATAAACAGGAACACATAGAACAATAGATAACGAAAGAAACCATCCGATCATGTTTGCCCACCATGGATAAATGTAATTTCCCATTTTAAGTGGAGTATACTTCACGCAACAGGCCACAAAAATTACCTGACATGAATGAAATAGACATTGAAAATGAAACAAACAGTGGTGCTCCAGAGGTATGCGCACCAAGATGTCGCCCAACCTTAATTCTAACCGGTACACGCCGACTATGTTCAGGTTGTGCGTCATTTTGGTGCGCATACTTCTGGAGGTCCCAAACAGTTTTATTAACACTATTCATCCTATATTTCCCTCGAGGGGTATTTTGCGCCGTGAAAGGCGCCGTGTACACGTAGTTTAGATGGGCATTTATGACCTCGTTTATGAGCGAATCCATATAAACATTGATAAAAGTTACACCAAAAACTGAATATTTTCAGAGCTTAAACTAACTAGAATGATATATCGACAAATTGGTATCGAAAATATTATAATTCTTCGCAACTTTGAACCGGATAATACAGAATTACCTACTGAAGAATTTCACGATAACAGCTAGTATACAGAAAAGATTCGAGTACAATGAAAATGTCCTATACATTTATCTTTATATCAATCTAAAAAAATGATTATAATTGTCCAAGATGGCTTCTCATGAAGTATAGAAATATTGGTTTCAAACAATTTTAGGTATACCGATTGTATTGCCGAGTAGAAAACAATTAAGGAAAAAGCTTGCACTCACTGCGCATATGGTTGGAGAAATATACTTGATACAGTACTTGAAGAATGAAGGTGGATAATATCCAATCATCATTTTGACATCATCATAAAATCTGTCGACACCGTATATCCAACCTATAGTGATTGTTTCAAACATTGCGAGCCACAGGATACAAATACCACTTGCTCCATATAAATTCAATATTTCGAAAATATAAATTCCGCCCTTGAGAGAAAGAAAATATTGTATCGTTTTTTTTTATATACTATGTTTATAGATTTATTTTGTGCTGGCGAGTGGCCTGGAAATATATTGCAAAGTTTCCTAGAAAATTTATAACGGAAAACAGATGATTATCTGAGCGAACACGTACTACTTTTTTGAACAATACCTTTCCATCTAAAATCCGTACGCATTAAAGTTTAAACCATACCTGAAGTTTTGTTTGCTCTCCCGATTCTGTATTCAGTTTTATTAATTTTGTTTTTATTAATTATTTTATCGTCTTTTATGCTGATTATGGAGTCGACAAAAACTTACTTATAATTCTAGAGTACTCAAGATTACAGAATGTGGGGTGTACTGGTACACGTTTAGCCTTTCGGTAATCCAAAATTGCCACTGTCTACTGCGTAATTCTATGACAATCATCTATGGGATTTAATCAACGTGTTTGAGTGTAAATCTCTCTCTCAATTCATGCTTGAAAATCATTTCTTTTTTATTTTTACCAGAAAAAATCTTTAAAATCGTACATTTAACAAAAGAGGGAGACCCAAGATCATCAAACCGAAGCAAAATCCAATCCTCAAATAATGTAATCTTCTTTGACTCCCGAAATACTCCCGATAGTAATCTTGAATTGCAGTGATGCATCCTTCGGTTGTAGCATACTACAACGATAAAATAATAAAGCTTGAAAACGCACAAAATAAGTATAATATGGTGATTGCTTTCAGGAAGAATTTTATAGCATCGGTTCGAACAAATGTAGGATGTTAGATTGAGTTTTCGGGCCAGGTTAAGTCTGTAATTTGGAATCGGTTGGATTCTGACTTCACAAGTGACGTCGGTCTTGCGAAACTCACGTAATATGGAAACAGAACGTTTAGTTTCATCACCGTCAAGTAAACATTTAAACTTTGAAATAATTCACTAATGTTTTGCAAAATTCACGTATGAACAAGTGGCTAAATTTGCAAAAATGTAGTCTTCAAAATACATATTTAAAAAAAAAGCAAAATTTAAACGTACATTAAAATGCAAGCAATTCTTACCGAACCGTCGATGGCAAGACCTGTCAGCGTAATAAAAAATAAAGCGGACCAGAGTTGAGATGCTGGCAACAATGCAAATTCAGCAGGGAAAACTTGAAAAACGAGTCCAGGTCCTGGACACATAAAAAAGCATAAAAAACGATCATTAATAATAATTGTGAACGCGAAGAGATCGGGGCAATAGAATGCATAAAAGTTGAATCATCTAAACGATCATTATTATCTAAATTACTCTACCTCCTTCCACAACATTCCTAATATCCTTTCCTTGCTCATGTGCCATGTGTCCCAAGAAGCTAAACACAACAAATCCAAAGAACAGAGAACTTCCATAGCACACTCCGACAAACAGATATGAGCTTCTGATAAATAATGAAATAATAAATATATATTGATTAATTCATTTAAAACCACATCCGTTAAGTTTGAGATTAATATGTAATTTTGATTACATCAGATGTTTCCAAACTTTCAAACTCCCAGATCATTTACTTTATATAATATAAATCACGAAACATAGGAAGGAACATTTTACTTTAATAACATTAACTTGGGACAGAAAAAACTTTGTAATATATATATCCATATTCAATCAATGAGATACTGATCTTATTTTTGTGCATAGCGAATGATTGTCCGATATGGCCATTCGTACTTTTTATCGAAATGTATTTGCTATTTAATTAACAACACGCTCGTCGATCTGGGAACTACGCCAACCGCGTGGAACGGGCTATACCAAAACAACTAGCATACAGATCTCGAGTTCTAACCTCTTTGCTCCATTTCATCAACTTTCATCCATGGTTAGAATCTAACGAATCAAGAATGTTTCCAAAAACATTCACGTTAAATCATTTTATTTTAAATAATAATTATCCATACAAGCCTATCGACATTGGAACAAAATGTACTCAACGTACCTGTAACAGTCGTAGTTAAATTTATTGTAACTTCCAAATCCATACAATACTCCGTAACAAACACCGAGGGAATATAAAACTTGACCACCAGCATCCAACCAAGTCTGATAAAATGATTGTTGTAGAGGTCGTTTATAATAACGATTGAAACAGTATATTATATTTAAAATGGTGGTGGATTGAAAATAAGAAAATTTTGTAAAGTAGTAAAGATGTAAAGTAGGCTACCAAAATTAGTTACCTCCATATTGGTACACACACTTCTGGAGCGCCCACTGAACTAGGTCGAATAGCGTCAAAGTATATCTAAAGATTATTCTGAGTGGGGTTAGAAACATTTGTTTGTAAATGTTTTAATGAGTTCGATTAAAAAAAACTGGATGTGGAAGTTCAACATTCTACCGCTTTGTCAAACAAACTCAAGAATGTAATCACTCACCTCCGGATCAATCAGCCTAGTCATGTTTGGCGTGATGAAAAACATAACCCCTGATCCTGCACCCTCCAATGTTATTCCTCGGATAAATAACCCAAACATAAGAACATATGGCACAATCACTGTTACATAAGCAGCCTGCAATACGTAATATGTCAAATATGTCAAAAAGGTCAATTTATTTCACAGAACTACAAAAAAATGCCTGAAACGTTAAATAAATGGTAAAATTATAATGTTTACCACAACATAATTGTTGGTGACAGTGAGTGTGTTCTTAATACTTGCGACAATAACTATGGATCAGTATTCAGTACCATTATCATCTTCTAAATTACTTTGAAATCACCATTAAAATTTGACAACAATGCGTCGCAATATTACTTACTACCGAATATTGTGAATTCATTTAATTTGCATATTGTACAACTGTAATTTTGCATAATATTCTAAAATAATCTAAGTTTCCATATATAACAGTACCACAGAAATAGTTTGAAGTCTATTTCCTGGTATCCTGTGTTATGTTTATTGACTGATAGTAGACCAGACAGCGAAAAAGTTTAGTTTTTGTCATTTCATATTTTTAACCATCTATAACTCGATTAAAGCTATTCAGACTTACTTTCCCAGAAGTTCGTATGCCCTTTGCAATGCATAAGTAGCACATGAGCCATGCTGACACAAAACATCCCAACATTTTCCAATTTGAAAATCCACCCATATCATGAACTCCACTGCTACGCTGTAGCACATGATTACTGAAAATGAATTCGGGTCAAATTAAGTAATATTTAAATAAAAACAATCCGTGCGTATAAATAAATAGTTGCTAACGTCTTCAAATTTGCAAATGCAATAGAATAGGCTATTTAGACATAAAACGTGATTTAGTAAAATTTTAACTTGTTACTTATCGATCATAAGATCGGTAAGTATGTTGATAGGTATTTGTCTGTTTGTCTGTCTGTCTGTTTGTATGTTTGTCTGTTAGATGAACGCGATATCTCACGAACGCGTGGTTGAATCTGCTCCAAATTTTGCATGTACATGCATCTTACCTCGGACCAGAAGCCAATAGATTTTGGGTTAATTATGTCGTATAATTAGCGAGTTATTAACTAATTACCGATCTGAGATCGATAAGTCTCCGGTCTCCGACCGATATTCTCGTATTTATACTTCTGGGAAAATCCAACAGCCCAACAGCATTTTAGTGCTTCGTTAGGACAGTGATTTTGATGCAGATGAACCTATTTCCATTAGGGTATTCAATTTTAGATATCGATTTTTTCTACCAATTTAATGATTACATTTTTACACAGCAAATAAATAAAGGCGATACATTGCTGCACTATTCAAGTGCTATTCCATAACTCAAAAATACGTGATTTTCTTACTCCCAAAATTCCGAAGTTGATAAGTGTGAGTTCTCCAGCGAAATATTGTAATTCGATATTGACGAATTTTCTACCATTTCTTTCAAACTGCGGTTAGTCCTAATCGATGCTATGCAGTTATCAGAATTCCATGAATTACCTCGAAAAAAAAATATGGCAAATGCTGTATTGAAATAAGGTATACAACTGTGCTCAAAGATTGGTCTGAAGCCCTTAACTAAAAGTGGAACAGTAGTGATAGAAAAGTGGAAAGCGATGTTGACGCACGCATCTCCTTGCCACCTTGAGGAAATAGAGGTAGTTTATTTAATTTGGTTCCATGACTGTACGTGAAAGTTTCGTCCTGGATTTGTCTATAAGCTTACTAGCATAATATATTAAACACTTACCGCATGTAGCCCACGGCAGAGCTTCCGATGTAAAGGAGTGTACTGTGTAATAAATACACCAGGCCATTGCATAGACGAAATATACAAGTGTGTATATACATAGTAAAGTGGATCCATATCCGATCCCCTTTGTGCGAAAGTTGAGAAATAAATCAAAAATATTTATTTAATTTCAATATACGAAATATCATCAACCAATAATCATTGATTAAGTGTTCAAAATAAATGAATAATAGCATCGTTTTCAATTCATCTCAGCAAATGTTACGTCCCACATCCAAAATATTTGAAAAATGCTCACTTCGGGTGAGGTCTATTGAGTTCTTGAATTTAGTATTTAGTTTGCTTACGAGTAAGTTTAGGCATTTACGTGTCTACGTGGGCAATAATGAAACATAACTACATTTACATAAAATTTCTCCTAAAACGAAAAATATAATCAGACTACTTTTAGAACTCACAAACGAAGACAAGCAAAGCGAGCAAAAATGTGTTGTGGCAATAACTATTTATTACTATTTGTTGTTCAGTTCATCCTTACCCTCATCAATGGAACCAAGTTCCACACGCCAATGCATCCTTGCCTCGTAAATTGTCCAATGCTGACTTCCATGAATAGAAGCGGTAGACCGCAAAAGAATCCACACAAAAGATATGGTATCAAAAACGCGCCTGTAATACGAGCGAACTGAATGTTGTATATTTGTACCACTATCGGAAAAAATTGCCCATGTGTTTAATTATTACTTATATATATATATTAGAACGTTGGGCAAATCATGATAGCCACTACAAGCGTTATGACGTTTTTTATATGGTGTTTAGATTTCTAATGCTACAGTTTACCTTATTAAAATGTACATATTACATTTTATCGAGCACAAAGTCATGGAACATTTTTGTGGGGACAAAATTTACTATCTAAGAAGCCAATGGAATGCAGTTTTCAACAGCTGGAGATGAAAACGTTCGTTATAATTTATTTCATTTCAAATTTTCTCTGGGCTTTCTAGCGCCCGTTGTTTTGTCCCAAATGTAATTTACCAGCATATAAAATTATGAAAAAATTTGCTATATATATGTATAAAGAGCTAAATGGCTATAACGCTTAGTCATAGGAGTGTAAAACAACATCTCACCGCCGCCATTTTTGAAGCACAAGTAGGAAAATCTCCATATATTCCCTAGTCCCACGTTATATCCGATAATATTGAAAATAAATTCGAATTTGTTTTTCCAATTGATTCTGCGGGAAAAAATATTTTGTTCAAATTTTAAGTATATATATATTGATAAATATAGTTTAGAAGAGTTATTTGAGAGAAAAAATAAGAAGGTATCACACTTGATATAGTTTGATGCTCTTGTGGTCATTTAGCCATAACCCATGATTAGAAGAAGATTTTAAGTTCGACAAGTCACATTGTGTGCACAGTTTATAATCAGTCGCGTATCTATTGTATGAGAGCCATGACTCGCGCCATTTCAAATGACTGATTATTTTATAACTAAATAGTAATGTACATCTCAGTTCAACAACAGTAGCCTACGTCAATTTTACGTAGCTGCGCCACTGTTCATAATAAATGATCGCCATTTACATGCTACATCACATTTTGTTTCCACGTCGGATGAGGCAAAAACAACTCACCCATCGTTTCTGAGCTTTTACAAAGTTTATACCCGACAAAAACTGATTCGCATTTTGCGCACTTTGCCTATGGTTGACTATTTGCTATTAACAGGGCGATAATAAACGTACAAAACATTGACCACTAATTGAACAATGCGAGCAAAACGGGCAAACTCTGATTTTATGGAATAGGCAATGACTTAATTATCAGAAATATTTGATGCAAAAAATTATAATGAGGTTATTGTTTATACTTCTCCATTTTCTGGTCCTCGACATCATTGTTATCGCATTTCTGCAACATTGTGTTGGTCTCCATTATATACCGTTTAAAACAAAGGCGAGCTGAACAGGAATTATTTCACTGCAACTAAACTATCTTGAACCACTTAATATCTTCAAACAAATTGTAATATGAAATTCAATTGCCGGGCTTCAACAATTTTAAAAGAAGTCTGGTTGGAAAATCACATTATAATAAATCATATATTATAAACCATTACATAATAAGTCACTGGACTACTCGTCGTTGCATCGTGATTGTCATAACCTGTGTTCAGTTTCATCTTGAACCTGGTTTGCTATTCAACCATCGTTTACTCTTCGCGCCCAAATGAATTATTTGAATACGAAAAGGATGTTTTAACGGAATATCTCCAACCTGGCGCGAAGGCGTCCTCGGCATACAAACCAACTTTGGCACGAAAGCGTGTAATCTACGAGAGAAAACTATTCAGGCGTTCACTGTATTTTTGCATTTACCATGCTAATATTACTAAGTGGATAAAAGTATTGAAACCCACACTCATCGATATATACTAGCTACAAACGTCAGACAATGCATTAGTGTTATACAACAACATTTACATTGTTGACCCCCATGCCAGAAAACGTGATGTTTATCTTACAAGACAAAGATATGCCGCAGGGTACGTTTCCAATAATATAATGTTATAGAACTTTTTGTTTGTTGCCCCCAAGCCGCAAAACGCAATGTTTATCTTACAAGACAAAGATCTGCCACATGGGTACGTCTCTCGCGTCGAGCGCGCGAATGTATGTGGTAGGTATTTTTGTTATAGTTCAAAATTGAGATTTCAGCTTTATCATCATTTTTGAACAGACTTCTTTACCCTTACCCAAGTATAAGTCTGGAATAGTATAAGGGAATACATCATAAGTATAAGGGAATACATCATAACTGTTCTGGACGAGAACGGTTTTTGCTAATCTCTAATAATTATCTATTTCTATTAAAATATTTTGGTTATATAATTCGGCAAAACCATACGGTAGGCCTACTCACCGCCAATAACAGACAGTATTTCTAAAATTGAATTACCCGATCTTTTTAACACCAGGGAAAATCTTTGCGGACTCGTGCGTTAACTCTAAAAACGTGCGTTAACTGTAAAACCGAACTCTGTGTGAAGGAGCAATAAAGGCAACAGAATTTTAACGAAGTCCGTTTATAATCCATATTTACAAAATTCAATCGAAACCATAGCGAGGGTGCTCAGTCATTGAGACATCGAGAACTGCTCGCTCTGACAAACTCGAAAGATATTATGAGATCACTGGCTACAATTCGCTGACGAAAATTATAGGAAGGAATTTGCAACTAAAATTTTCAAATAAATTCATTCTGATTTTTGTCCATATCGATTGCTTTCGTAAAATTAAAAAATTAACAATATCTTTATGACTGGTTTCTGAATTCGCTGTCATTTTCTGTCTGTATTTTTCTATTAAGTCTGTGTTTTTTTTTTTTGCCTCGGAACAAATCCTCTGAAATGTTGTTACTGCGTATCCATTGAAATCTGATAGAACTCACCTAATGGTATTTCATATTCAAATTAATATATCCGCTCGAAAAATTTTGAAATGTTACATCTTTGTTATTTGTGTTGGTGAATCGAATTTTACCAAATGGCCCACTGAAAAGATATAAAATTCATGCGATATTGGCGCACAATAAGATCATTTAAAAATGTAGCAATGGTGTCACAGTAAACAAATAGATAAAAAACACATATATAACACTCAATCTTAACGCAAGCGAAAAGTACGTGTAAACTCGTGTTTTTGTCAGAAAACTGCGAGTTCGTTGTGTAATTTAATCGTTTGATTCAGCGCGATTGATCTGCTGTGTCCAAGTCACAAGTTACCAGGTATTCCAATAGTTTGCTGTTCGAATATTTTGCCCAGCCCTCCTTGCCTTTTATGTTTTATGTAAATCCTAACGTAAATTGTAACTTGGCTGGTATTTAAGTCTGGTAAAAACGTTTTCGCCCCGCAATGAATTTTGCGACACTAAAAAGGTTAGTGACCTACATTAAATATACTATTACATAACTTTCTAATTTGGTCGTTGCGGACTCATTGAACGTACTGCGGACTCATCTGAGACCGCGGACTCAGGTTGGGAAACACTGTATTAGAACCTTGGCCCTGCTCAATAATCAGATTTGGTTCCTCGCGGCTTACCTTCCACAGCAAAATTGTACGATCACTTCTTTTTTGAATATTGTATGTGATTGTTTTTTACTGATTGAAAAAAATAAACTTGACTTTTTGTGCGAAGAGTCAGAGCAAAACTAGATTCCGTCTGCTCTACTAGATTTAAATTAAATCATTCATTAAAACACGAGAGCTATGCTCGAATATATGGACACTTAGAATAAAACGAAATATATTATCATCACTTCACCGAAACCATAGTGTACCCTACGCCTTCGGTACGGTATCCTACACGAATCTAAACAGTGAAACAGCTACATGGCTATGATAACTGACTTACTAGTACATGGGTACAAATACCGGTACAGGGACTGTCATAGCTCTTCCATGTCCTGTAATAATGATCTATTTTTCTCCATTCAATTTCAACGTGAATTGAAATACCAAGTGATCCAAGTCACTTCTCCATTACGGTACCAAGCCAAAATAAGAAGAAATTTCGATTCCCCGATAGGACAGGATTTACATATTTATCCCGGGGGAGAGGAAAGCCGAACAGACGGCTTAATCATATGGCGAACCACGGCCTCTCGTCCGGTTACCAGCCCAGGTCGGGTATGAGATTAGTTAGCCAGTTATTTGTTTTCGGAAGCATAGACTTGATGGTGGAGAAAGCCGTAACCGACCAGGGGTTACGTGAACCACCCTACGGCGGCGAGGAGTCCAGCAATCCTCTCGCACATGATCATCCCCGCATGGGATTCGAACCTGCGATCCCACGAAGGGTAATCAGAGATGCGGTGGCGAGCGTATTCCTAACGCTTAGCATGATGCGCCACACCGCCGAGCCATAATCATATGCGGTGCGGTAACTTACCAGTATCTGATATTCGTTCGCGGAACAGTTCTTCCCTGTCATATAAGAACTCAATTCATTTCCCCTTATCAAATAAAAAAAAAATAGGCTACAAAATTTATGTTGTTTACATCAGAACTGTAACGAAAAGATGAGAGCGTAATTCACAGAGGTACCGTTCGGTACGGAACCCAACCAGTTGCTGTACTGTAGGCCTGCTATTCGATCGTGGAACGGTTCTTCTCTGGCATATAAAAACTCAATTCAATTTGCTCTTATCAAAATTAACAAATACGGTAGGCTAGATTTGCTAGAAAACTTACATTTGACATTACTGCAATATTAAGATCGCGAAAGGAATAAGTCATTTTCACTGTGGTACGGTAACTGAGCAGTACCGCAGGCTCGATCACACAACCGCTTAAAATAGGTTTCAAATCAGTGTTCCCATGAGTAAATTTTAGAACAGCGAAATTTTGAATGAAATATCAGATCTCATAGGATTCATACGAAATTAAGGAATAAATAAAAGTGATACCCTTCTGAAAAAAAAATCAAACTTTACCACTGAAAATTTCAAAGCAATTGGTCCAGTATTCGAAGAGAAAAGCGACTTTATCATGACGAAGGAGAATAATAATAACAACAACAACATAATATTGAAACGATCGTTATATATGTACACGTCACAAGGTGTCGCTATTTTTTATTCTGACACATAAAAAACGAATCTCTTGAAGTTCACAGAAATTTTCAAAATAAGTAAAGTAATAGCCTTCTGGAAAAAAAATCAATTTTTAACCACTGAAAATTCCAAAGCAATTGTTCCAGTATTCGAAGAGAAAAGCGATTTCGTTATGACGAAAGAGAAGAATAATACTAACAAGAACAACAACATAATATTGAAACGATCGTTATGTACACTGACGTGTCCAATTATGCATTTTAGAAATAGTGGTAATAGACATTCAACTAGTAGGGCTTAGGCGACATAATTATATGTCCATATATGCTTTGTAGATACCAGTTCTGTATCTTCCTTGCACAAATAGTTTTTGTTAGAGATGTATCAGAAATATGAATACACTTGTCGTTTCCAATTTCAAAGTCTTTGTTTGTATATGTAGCCTTACTCCGTTGTTATAAATTGCTCCTCGAATTTTTTTTTTTGGTGTTGGAAATAAAATTTAGTTCTAATAATAGTTGTCGAAGGCAGAAAGGAGTACACAGCCCTTTGCTCGAAATTGACAGGGAAAAAAATTCGAGGCGCACGCTAATGTGTATTTGATGCTTTGTTTGTAAGCGTGTAGTCCCGTGGACAATGTCAACGTTTCTTCCTCATCTCTGTCTGATTTTTTTTTCAAAAAACTGTACTAAAAAATCACTCATGGTCGCTAAACTCGGCCCAGCAGATAAAAAGGATGGATAAAAAGGATGAATACGATCATCGGGCTTGATCGAGTCATAACGTAGCGCTGTAGTGCAAATATGTGTAAAGGGTTTGGTACAGTGTCTGTACTCAGTTCAAATTTCATGTCTCCGTCGTCCCTCTCTCACACGCCCCAAGTATCTGTCAACAAATGTATTTTCTCTCAGACTATTTTTAAGGAAAGAAATCAATCATGCCTGAAAAGCCACAGCAGACACATATATTGATTCAATTTCAGGAGAATTAATGTACCGATATGTGAACTTGCGCTTGTGCCCCTCATATCAATATTATTATCGACGTCGTGACAAACGAACAACGAAAACGAATATAAGAAAGCAGATTTACTGGTGTTAGGATGTAGCAGATGACAAGAAGTGAAGTATAACGCACGCCCAAGCTTGATACGGTTGTATGTACGGTTCCGCAGCTCTGTGGTGTTTCTTTAGCGCGGTAGATTTCTGAAGTGCTTTCTGTGCCTGTTAGGACAAAATATATTCTGCATGTATTACTGCGTTATGACGTTGCTACATTAATTATGTTCGTGTACGGACACGGTATTATAAAGCAGTAACTGGGTACTGGCATCGCTGCAGTATACCAGTATACGGTCAGACGGTAACTACCATGGTTTACTTTTTTTGGGATAGCATTATGGGCTAATGTGATAAGGCTGTAAGTCATCGACGGTTCGAGATATCAAAGGCTGAAGAATCCTGGCAAGTCCTGCAAAACGGAAATATTTGTTAATTTCTGTCTTTAGGGATTTTATTTTATCCAGTTGCAGTATCCACTATCAGACTATCCAGATCACTGTTCCTAATATTGTAACACACATTCTTCACAGTTTGTTTGCGTATATTTGTATATATCATAAGCCTTAACAGTTTAGTAGATGTTTTCAAGAAGCTGTCACTTCATAAATATATATTTTGAAATTCGCTTTCTCTAAAAAGATAGTTAAAATGTCTTTCAAGCAAGCATGCACTTCCTTCGAGCTTCACGGTTGATGGGGTAATAGATTCATGATTTGATCTCCTTAACCTATTACAGTATTAAAAAAATTGTCCAATAGAAAATTCAGTAGGCAGACAAAATCACCAAACTGGTTGGATAGGAGAATCTGCGAAGTATTAGAGAGTTAGTGTTCAATAAAAAGTTTTGAAACCTCTACAATAAACTTCTGCAGTTCTTGCAATACATTAATATCTGAATATTGTACATTCTTTGATGGGAATTTATTCTTGCTATAATGCAGTAATGCTAGGCTATTGCTTATATGGAGATGGTTGCTATTTAAATACGTATAAATAATTACCGCTAATAATCGAAGATTCAACGATTATAAAGGGTTGCATGCCCTTTCTATGCAGCTATGGGTTATAAAAAAAGTTTAGTTAGGAAAAATAAGGAATAAAAGCAGTGACACCGTTTGAATTCAATTTTTAAAGTTGTGATTTAGGATTTTTGTGACCTATGACCTAGTCTATTCTTCAGTATACAAGACTGCAAGATAATAATAAGACTTGAAACTGTAAAGTTGCATGTGAAGGTTGGATACAACTACCGGTGAATCTGTAAATGGACCAAAACTGAATAATGACCTCAAAATAAACCAGCTCCAATTTCAAGACTTCAACTTCTGAACTTGGAGACCCAACGGCTTGATAGCATAATTGCGCCTGAATTACCTATCGGCTGCAGTTTTATATGGTTACAGGATTATTTGAGGATGATGAATGGATCAAATCACCAATTCAATCTATTTGAAGGTTTGTTCATTCAGTCATTTGTTTTTAATCTTTATTTTATAATTGATCCTATTTAGGCTTTCATACTAAAATGATGTTATGAGGATTTTTTCATGCTACCTAACTGCGAGGTAGATTTCACACTATAGTACTAGCGGGAGGTATATCTCACGCTTAAAATAAAAAACTGAAGCCAACTATGTTTGGCAGTTAGGGGCGCGATAGCCAAGCCTATCTCAAGCATTTTTTACAACCATTTTGTGTACACTATCAACGTTTCAATGATTAAAGAGCCATTCTGCCATTCCAGGAAACAAGTAAAACCGATGCATTTAGGCAGCATATGGTAGTTGACTCGTTGCTATGGTAGCACCCCAAATTCATATTATCAAGCATGGTCAAGATGTAATAGAAATTCTGTAGTATATGCAACTGATGATTTGTATGTGACGTTTATTTCCTACGATTGTGAAACACAGACACTACGTGTAATGGTTTGTTTACATAGACCAGATGTTATTGACTTGCTACGGCTTCCTCAATCTATTGTCTGATGGTTTTTTATTACATGTACTATGTGTAAGCCATAGTTGGACCAACATGTTGAATATTACACACAAGAAGTTGAATGCAATTTTGAATTCACTATCTCATTACTGTTTCTTGATTGTGTTTACTTGAAATGCTTCTAATCTTTTGTAAATCACTGGACTGTATTGTGCCACCATGATTCTATGCAGTTTCAGCAGCTCTTGACATTTTAGTGGTTGCCCACCACAAGCTTGCTCAGAAATGACAATATTTTTCTTCTAAGTGAGTGCTTGTGACCTTTCTTTGAGCAAACGCTCTTAGGAAAATTTCTTTCATTCCAATCATCTAATTCTGATTCAAAATATATTTTTGTCTCATCTTTGACTTTTTTCTTTCAGCCATCTTATCTGTTCTCCTATTCTCAGGAATAAATATTAAATTTCAGCGTATTGCAGCTATCATGTACAACTACTTTTGCTTATGGAAATCACTGTCTTTTTTCTTATGTTTCACTACTGGGCCTGTTCTAAATGTTGACACCTTTACACCCTTTATCTGGTCTGTGCAATTAAGTACCCAATTAACTGATATCATTTCCTATTTTTGGTCTGCATTTATTTTTGAATCAAGTATTTGACGAGATTCCAACCTACAAATCATCCATGCTTCTATCATGCAGCCTTCGTGTGCATGACGTATTTTCAATAACAGGAAACATTGTTTCCTTATTGGTTTTCAAAAAAGTCTGGTTACAGTGTCGTATTTGTACTGTAACTAAAGCTAACAGTCATTGATAGAATATTACTGGCCTTTGTTTGCAGACTCTTTTGTTAACTATGCTATTATGCTTTGAGCTGCTTGGTATTCTTTTTTCCCTAAGGGATTCATGAAAACGATTGTGAGATGATATATTATACGTTATAGTAAGCTGACCGCTATTGGAGTATTCACTTTTCAAAGCAGCTGCTGTTTGGTTACACATTCAGTAGCAACAAACTCTATATAATGTACATTTTAGAAGGAGATATGAGAATGTGTTATAGTATATTTTATATAATTTTATTTGTTTTGAGTTTTTATTTGTATGGTTTAGAATTAGTGGAGTTGTGTAATTGAATACACATTCTGTAATTACTTGAGTTTTTCTTATGAAACATGGCAGAGAAATTTATATCGATTGGAAACAGTCCAACTAAAAGTAAGATTTGTTTTTATCAGTGATGATTTTGAATGATGAGAGGCAATGTATCATTTGAATGCCTTGTTATTGTGTATTTACTGTGTTTCAAAGCACAATATATTTGGAATGAAAACACGAAGCTGCAGACTTCCATAGTATAGAAAAAGTTCAGGGAAAGTTTATACCAATACGAAATATAACACATCGATCATAAAAATTGCAAAAAATAATTGCTACCTTTATTCCCTGCTAAGGCTTTACTCTGTTCAAAATTGCAATGCTCAGCATTGAAGCAATTGTTCAGAACGGTACTTTTGGGGCCTATATTTGAAAATTTATATTGGAGCAGTATTTAAATTATTTCATTATTTAAATGCTGAAATTCTGGTACAATATCATTACATGATGAACAGAAAGTTATTCTTGACATTTTTTGTGTTGCACAATAAAATAAAAACAATTGAATATACCATTTTCTGATTTTTTTTTCATATGAACTGATAACTTTTGTGCAAAACAAAGTATATATGTTTAGTAGCGAAAAAGCAGAAAATTTGTTTGTTTATTAAAAATAAATAATAACCGATTCTTTCTGCTCATTTCTAATGGTCATTATATTTAATAACTCATTTGTTCAGCCATTTTATAACAATGCATGAAATATTTAGATGGAACTGAAGATAGATTGCGAGCTTTGGAGCAGAGAGTCGAAATGCAAGAAGATGAAATTACATTGCTCAAATCATCAATGGCCGATATGTTGAGACGTCTTGCAGAAACTGAAAATTCCATGCAACACAAAAATAACACATTTGTCAGAAAACCTGTTGCTCTCAAAGGTAGGCTTCACATATTTGGTTTGAGAAGTCTAAGATAGGATGCGAAATAATAATTTTTATTGCTTTGACTAATTTCTTCAGCATACCTATTTGACTCCTAATTGTCAGTTTTTGTTTGCAGTCATAACACAATGTAGTTCACACTATTTAGTGTTGAGTAGAACTCCCTAATAAACCCTAAGTTTTAAATCAAGTCTTGGCATCGGTCATCTGAGTATCGAATCCCCCAAGTCGAGTTCATTACTGAGTTAATTCTCACTGCTGGTTAGTTGATGACAAGTCTGACATCCCTGTAAATAACTCGAGTGTATGACAAATGATGACTCAAGCCTTGACTCAAGTCTTCCTTACATTTGCACACATTGCTCAAATGTAATTCAATTCTTCACATGGCGAGTCTATTCAGACAGAAGTTCATCAGAACACCTCGTATCTATTCATTTACAGGTCAGTTTACTCCGCTGCCATCTCGACCTGCTGTAGACTCAACACCATCTCCTCGTACTCGTTCTAACCCACCTCCACCTTCACCCAGTGCACGACGTAGATCGAACTCATCGCCATTCAGAAACATTCCCGGACCTGCTTCACCTGACTATAAGTTAAATGGAGCTCCAGGAGATATGAGGTATTTGATTTTGCATTTGTTTTATAGTACAGTGATATCTCGGTAGTCGACACTCCAACAATTCTGTAGTCGACCAAAAATACTGTGGTACTCGAACAGAAATTCGGCAATAGCGCTGTCGAGTGAGATGACGTCACCCGAACCTCGCATCTCAATAGCCTCTTGACCATTTAAATATATGGACGCCAAAGTCAAAACAAAGTAGTACGGGTACGGGTGCAATCTGTTACAGTAGACTACCAGTACGGCGATCTTCATGACTTATGCAAAAGAAGAACTGTCACAAGGTTCGCAATTATAATGACTTTGTCGCACAGTATATTCTCGATTTATTGGCTATATATCTATTAATAAATTAGGAATTGTGGATTAATTGACCATCTGGTGACTTGCCCTTTTCTGAAATGTACAGAAAAAAATAATTATACAATAAATGTTAAAAATATCCATAACAGCTCATGCAGTAACTTTTGTACAAAGCCTTCCTTGGACTGAAAGACATATAGAATGTATAAAAACAATTATCACTACTATTTACCCCTTCTTAGCATGTGGTTTCTTGTATCAATATCAATTTCATATGTCAAAGGCTTGTAACCCGCCCTTGGTGCAATCTTCCATAAAAACATTACATGTCATTTTATATTCAATTCTGTCAATATAAATATAGCAGCCAAAATTTTAAATTTAAATTATTACAAATTTTGAAATATTACTACACAATACATTTCTGATTTGTTCTGAACTTTGTATTGACCTAAATATAATTCAGCAATGACTACCGGTATTTGTGTTATAAAATAAATACTTCATTACGAGCACTAGCCCAATCCAGTCAAAAATTTATATAAATAGCAGTCAAAAATTGGAATTTGAATCATTACAAACTTTGAAATATTACCGCACTGTATGAAATTTCAAAATTTTTGGGAATCTAGTCTCGACCTGAGCATCAGAATGTCCATTTCTGTTTTTAAAAAGTAATACTTCATCACTGGAAGTCTGGAACTACCCCAATCCAGTCAAAAATTTGTTTCCTGCACTTAATTATATTTCATGAGCGCTCCATAATTTCATTATCTATGGCTGAACCAACTGTTCCATTGAGAATTGCAAGGATTGATCCATTGCATTGATTTACATTTGCGTGATCAATTCAACCTAAACCACTGGACAGCTCTTATTTAGCTAAATCATAATGAATAATGTATGTCAGGCTGACCTTAGCACAATGCAAAATTAAATTTGGTCCAAAATTATACAGTTAAGATCAAGCATGGTATGCTGATGAAGTCAAATCATGAATATGTTCACACTTGGTCTTGTATGATCCGTGCCTAACTCATTTTTCTAGATACCGGTCGATGTTAATCATTAATATTTATAGGCTGCACTGGACTGCCATTTACTAATCTCGTGCTTTTTTCCTTGTGTGTGTGAGGTATATCGTGATATATTGATTGCGGCTTGACACATTATCAATTAGTCTGTTGGCTTTTTCTGTCGTAGAACATACTACTTGCAAAGTGAAATTGTAACTGTATATAGTTGTTTACCCTGCGTTGATTTAGTTTCAATAATTTAAAAAAATTTGAAAAGATGTCTCGTGTTACCAAAAGCAAACCGTTGAAAGGTAGATCCAGAAATCCCAGGGCAAAATCGTAAGTACTTTTTATGTATTTTCATTTTTTTGATTACACAGAAAGGCTGGATCTACTGAGCAACTTTTCTCTAAAGATGGAAAAAGATTTAACTCTAAAACTTCAACAAAACCGAGATCACGGCCAGGGACTCCAAGGTTTTATCATTTTTAGTTCCTCTTTTAAAGGCGAAGTTTGATTGGTTCAGATTTGTAAATTGATAATGTTAATAATATAATATATGATGGATGTCATTAGGAAGAATTATCTTGTATATATGGTATAAGGACCCGAAGTGGACAATTATATTTGCTAATGGATGCTAGGTTCTTGGTATTGTTAAGGTGAATGTTGTCTTTTAGAATTAGAAAATAGAAAATTTTTTTTTTTCAAGGTTAGAGGAATTTATACAGGTCTATTTTTTAAATTTATGCTATGCTGTTTGCTTATTTATTTTAATTAAATGGGATCACTCTTTTTTATTAATTACCTACTCACATATTATTTGTCTTACAAACCTTTTCTCTGGCTATGCCGTACCTATACTAGTGAGCGGCCTTCATATCCGTATAATTGAGCATTACTCTCTTGTTTAATATAATTTAAATGCAATACAAACAATTTCCCATCAATTCATGTAGATATCTTAAATATGATGTTGAATAGAAGCCTACAGCAATCCAACTAATTAAAATATTTTTGTAGTACTGTCTAAATTGGACTTTTTTATGAGTTATATTGCTTTCACAATCACCTCATTACGAAGTATTTGAAAGTGTTTGAAATTGAGATGTAATTATCACAATCTAAATGTAATTTTTTTCTTATTTCAGCCACTTCAAGGAAGCTACTTATAATTCTGAAGAGGGCAATGTACGTATGCATCTCAAAGGAAGGCCAGTGGTGTTGTATTGTCAGTCAGCACTCAAGGAGTCATATGATATCTCAAAACCACTCGAAGCACCTGATAAAAAGCTCAAGCTCGATTGGGTGTATCTTTTGTTTAAAATGATTAATTTTATTGCATAATCACACTAATAAATACAGTATATCAAAAATCATTATTTGTTATGCAATGCTATAACACGTCTTTCATTGAGAGTTGTTGTATATTTTTTTCTATCATAAATATATTATTTTTTCAAAATATGATATTCTTTAACTGAAATATGTACATGCAAACACAGTTATGGATATAGAGGAAAAGATTGCAGGTAATTTTTTTTTCATCTTTCCGTCAATTTATTAATGTCAAAAACACATATGACCTAATAGTTCCGCACTTAATAAAAACCATCCATTTAGAATTTAGATGGTAATCTTTTAAGATTATTTTACTGTCGCAATTAAGTTAGGTTATGTTAGGACATGCTCACTTGATGTTATTATTAGCATGACATCCTGTTTGTGAAAAAGGATATGTTTCACTCACATTAATAATTGTTCGTAGTACTGTCACCAAGAGATGGCCCAAACCTAATACTATATACTACATTCAATATGAACAAATGCTATTTTCAAATATCAAATATTTAATACTATTATCAAAAAAATAAAGCATACTTTTAATTTGGTTTTCCGTTTTATATTACCAGAAGTTAATTAAATCTCTTTTTTTGTCCGTCAGATATCTAATGCCCAAAGTGATTTTTTTTTTATAAAATATTCTGATACTGTCGATTAGTCTAAGGACATCCCATTACCATTTGCAACTTACGTAGCTTCTACTACATGCTCAATTGATATTGTTTAATAGCCGTGACTTTCTGTTCATCACATGAATTCTAAATTCAAAACTGTTTTTCTGGGCATAGGCGTTTTGTTTGAACCCCTATTTTAAAGTTATATCTTTATCATGGTTTTATTTTGTTTCTGGATTTCAAGACCAAATAGTTTGATCTTGTAGTTCCTAAACTATGACACAGCATGTCACATTAGTGATCACATTCCAAATGTGCCGCGAAATATCAATTCATACCTTTCAACTACTGTTAGTTATAACTTGACATAAAGCAAAATAATGATTTTGATCCATTTGCATAAAAGCGATCTCATGTAGCATTTTGATTGAATTTATATACCTATTTTATAAAACTTTTTCAATTTTTCATGTGTGTCGAGATTTGTGATAATTTTTGAATTGTCATAAAAAGTGAAAGTAAATTGCAAGTTTGAAAAGATTGGGAACTCCTGATTTTATCCAAGTTCATCCTTACTCAAACTACATTAATTATTGAAAATTATTTTTCAGGTCTAATCTTTACATCTTACCTACTGGAGAAATGGTTTATTTCATTGCTGCTGTTGTTATACTGTATGATCCTAAAGAAGGATCGCAAAGACATTATCTCGGTCATAATGATGACGTTAAATGGTAAGGAATATTTCTATGCATGTTTTGACTTTTTTACTGTCATTCATTTTTAACTACTAAATACTAATATAAACTCTATACTGCTTTTTCATTCAGAATAAAGTAAGTTATAAAGATATACAAAGTGGAAAATTTGTTCCAGAAATTCATACAGCGCTATTGGACTTTTATCATTTTTGGACTAGGCTATGAGCAAGTCAGGGTTACTTTAATTTAAAAATGATAATGCTCGATTGAATTAGAATGAATAGATTATCAGCTTGATGATTTTCAATCTTCTCTGTCAAAAATAGATCACTCCACATTTATTATTTACTAACGAACTAATTTCTAACTATAGTTCACTCTGATTATATGGATGTCCACATTCAAGATTGTTATATTTTTCAATTTTTCATTCCAATTCTTTCAATTGTACGAGCATGTTACTGTATCACAAAATTTCATATCAAGTTTTTTTTCACCAAATTCACAAATCTATTTGATTCAATTTTCACTGATGTATTGTTACTCTAAATCACTGCATCACTTTTCAAGGAGAACATAGATAAATAATATTGCATGTTTTTTACTCACATTGAAGTATAGACAAATATCATGAACCATGCATATGGAAAATATTCATTATTAAAAACCGAGCGACTGCAAAATCCAATTTCTAAAATCAATAAAATTGAATAATTGATTCAATCCACTTGATCTCGGTTATCCTCTTGATTACACTGTTCCCACGTATTGAATCTGTATTGATTTGTTTTTTCAGTCTAGCAATTCATCCAGACAAATTAAAAATTGCCACAGGTCAAGTGGCTGGATTAGAACTGGATGGGAGAGTAAGTACATCAAGTATTTTATTATATTTGAAGAAGTCTAATTTGAAAACTTCATTTTGAATGATGTGGCAATGTACAAAACTATTTCTAATTTTCAAATTTTTAATTACTTTGTTATTAATTTAAAGGTTTATTTTGATTGTATTAATTCCTATTTTAATATTTTCCTGATTATCATTTTTCTTTTTTCCATTTGTTTTATTCTCATTTTATACGAGTTTATGACTGTCTTCGGATCGCGAGTCGGGAGTCAAAGTTAAAATTCTTCTTGATCTGAAGACATAGCAAAATATTCCCAGGCTCCACAGCTTTGCTCTGCTGAATTCATAAGGCAGCTGATACTTGCGAATTAGCAATTCACCATGGTCATCTCTGTTACAATAGAGAAATATTGCTTTTTAACAAACGTCACTATGGCGAAATTCCTTTTAACAAATTGTTTATTCTTAATTGCATATATTTTTGCAATTTTTGATTCGTTGCGCACTATAGGAGTTCAGAGGGCGAAATTTATGTTCGAAGGTATATTTTGTTGGAGTGATTGTAGTACTCATGATTGTGAATTCACATCTCATTGTAAAGTTACATATTTATTAACAAATACCTTAATATAAAACTTTGCAATCGTAGCATGTGTTTTATTTAAATAACGATTCATATTATTGTCTTTTTCACCTTAGATATTTTCATCAATCATCATGTTTTATGTGTTAACCCATTGGTGCATTCGTGAAATTTACTAACAGTACAGAATGCTATTCTTGTAGTTGAAATGCCATGAATTTTATGTGAATAACTCGTTAATGTCATATTAAATTTCTGATTTGTTTTAATGAAAATCTTGCTGGTAAATTCTAGCTGAAATATTCTAGCCAGTACCAGTAATATTCTAGCTGAACTGTTGTATATTACTTATTGCATGAAATAATACTCATACCAACAATTGCCACTTTGTTGAATCTGGCAGAAAACAAAAAAAGTTAGGCGGCAGAAAACTATGTTATGGTTCAATGATTATCTATATTGATTTTGTTCTGTCAAAATGCTCAAGTTAAAAACAATATATTCTGTCAATACTAAATTTTGCCTGCTTTTTTAAATCTTCTAATATGATTAGAACAATTTGACACTACTGAAAGTGCTGCTTACCGGTATGCGGAGTTTTGTTCATAGCGAAATGCGTCGCATCGAAAATAATTCTATTTTCTGATTTACCTTTTCTACTATTTTATATATTGATTATGATTTATTTTGTCAACCTAGCCTAGGCAACCTCACATTCGAGTGTGGGATGCAGTCAGTCTCAACACTCTTCATGTTATTGGTCTTGGAATTTTTGATCGATCGGTTGCTTGCGTCAGCTTCTCCAAAATTGTAAGTATAAAATACTTATATCATTCAAATTGCAAATATATATTCAACTATGGACTCAGCGAAATTCATTTTATACTTGCCGTTGCAAATCTCCGTTACTAGCATCCCTTTTTATTTACCTAAAACTGTCCCATACATCTTCCCTTGTGGTAAGCACCCAGGTGTGATTTCTTCTGGATGGTCAAGGAAGGCGCAACCAACCAGTAGTTATTTGAACCACCCTACAACGGCAAGAAGTCAACAATCCTATTTCTCATAATTATATCCCAAAGGATTGAATAGGTTGATTGGTATTGTGTTGTATGATGTTGATGTACTTGTGGAAGTGAATATTGCTCTAGTCTCACAATATCGCTTTAATTTTTGCTTTGAACATGTTTTTTTCAGGATGGTGGAACTTATCTTTGTGCAATAGATGAATCGAATGATCATGTACTTACTGTGTGGGATTGGGAAAAGGAAGCAAAACTTGCTGAGAGCAAGGTAGGTTCTGTTTTGCATTCACGAATTTCAATACTATTTTTCTTTTTTACTGCAATTTTATCGTTCTGTGAACTTCTGTGAGTATATACTAAAACATGAGTTGTTATTTAATGATAGAATCTAAATTAACCGAAAAAAAAAAGTGCATCCTGCAATATTAGGTATGAATCCTTTTAATAGAAATTCATGAATTTTTTTCAGAATTAGAGATTAAAATTTCAAATGAAAATGAAGAAATCCATAATTTTCTTTTGTTAATTACAGTCGTCTAAAGATCCTGTAGTTACTTGTGAGTTTAATCCACATTCAGAAGAAATACAGATTGTAACTTGTGGAAAAAGTCATGTTTTATTTTGGAAATTAGAAGATGGACAACTAGTCAAGAAGCAGGGATTATATGAGGTAAATTTTTGACTTTATAACATCCTTTTATTTTGATTTTTCTCAGTTCAATGATACTGTATGACAACCCCTGTACTAGTTTGGGCAGTCATAATACAATAATGACAATGAACATAAAATGTTTGATATTTTGAAGAATCGTTTTACCTCAGCTAGTTACTTAACTGAATTTATTACGTACCTGTGACTTCCCTTCCCCAGTAAAAGTGTAATTATCATTTTTTTTTTGTATTTTATGTGTTCATTTTTTTATTTTTATATTTACTGGTTGGAAAAAATAAACTTGACATGACTATAGCACCTATCATAAATTTTGAATTTAATACAGTGATTCTGTAATTTTTCAATCTATTTAACCTTTCCAATAACTCTCTAGAACCATTTTTCTCTTATATTTTCAGAAACACGACAAGCCAAAGATCATTCACTGTCTTGCATTCACAAGTTCTGGTGTTGTTATATCTGGTGATTCCAATGGAAATCTTCAAGTTTGGGCTCAGGGAACTTCCAAACGCATTTCAAAGTTTATCACTGTTAGTATTTATATTTACATATAAGTGCATTAGCAGCAATCGAAATGATCGCATGATTTGTATTTAGTTGAAATCTGTGAATTGACCAATACTATCATTAATTTTTGACTTATTTTTCTTACCCATATCTTATACAACAGGGTGCTCATGAAGGAGCTGTGTTTTCAATTTGCATGTTACGAGATGGAGTATTTGTTACTGGTGGAAAAGATGGAAGAATTGTAATGTGGGATGCTGATTTCAATAAAACAAATGAAGTTCAGGTATGTGTACATTTTGATCCTAATATATGTCTGTGTAACTATCAAGCTAACTACCTTACCTATTTTTCCTATATTGTTTGTAATGGTGGTATCGTATGAGTCTAATGCAGAAATGCTGTAGCAAGGATATAAATGACTATTCAAAGTGGTTTAAAAGTCCTGCTGCAAACTAACATTTCTTTAATATTTTGCCTGACCTCTAGGATTAAACTGTTTTTTAAACTTCTCAATCACATTGTGGCTCTCTAAGATGGCTGAGGCCTGTGACCCTTAATTTTATATGGATTACCTTTTGAAAGTGATCTGTGTGCATTTGTTTGTTTATTATTCTTTTCTTTTTCAAGCTTCCTAATCTGAATGGAGGAGGAATACGAACCATATCGTATGGTACCGGTGATTCTTTACTTGTTGGAACTAAGAAAAATTCGATATTGTACGGCAGTCTACAATCAGGTTTCGATACTGTTGTCAAGGTATTCATCATTTATAACAATTTCAATAAGAATTTTCACAACTATTAAACAAATTTTCGGATTGAGATGAGATAAAGTATAATTTAGGATGGGAATTTTATTACCCTACTTGGGTCGGTAATTCTCCTCTACTTCAATGTGCGTGTTGTCTTGCTTTGAGAAAGTTGTCTTAAAAAATTAGGATTATAAATATTCCTTTTCCAATGAAATTTTTTGTAAAGACTATTCTTCTGAATTTTCACAACTTGTCCCACCAAGAAAAGTTTTCAGCAGTCTTACCTGACCTGAAAACTGATTATATGTGAGACTGACATACCATTGTAAACAAACAGCCATCTTCTATTGTAAAACTGCTTGGTAATAAAATAATTCATTCACAACTTGTCCCACCAAGAAATGTTTTCAGCAGTCTTACCTGACCTGAAAACTGATTATATGTGAGACTGACATACCATTGTAAACAAACAGCCATCTTCTATTGTAAAACTGCTTGGTAATAAAATAATTCATTCAAAATCTCATCTCCCCAACGTTTATACGTACCTTCTTGGAATCCCGGGAGTATATTAGACTAGTCCTGGAATCGAGATGAGGATATTTATGGCCCTAACCCTACTTGTTCCATTGTTTACTATCAGTATTCGCTTTAGCCTAGCCAGAGAAATTTTCATGTCGAAAGTTTTTTCCAAAAATTTCTAGCAAGTTCTGGGCCAGTTCTCTTCAAGAAAATCATTATAATAAATATTACTTTCAGGGTCATGTTGAAGAATTGTGGGGTCTTGCTGCTCATCCTAACAAACAACATTTTATAACCGGTGCATATGATCGCAATCTTACACTTTGGGATGCTGACACTCATAAACCTATTTGGACAAAGGTAAGCTTAGTGGAATTACCAAATAAAGGAAAAACTAAGGTTACTAGACAAGCTTGTTGGAAATGAAGTGGACTTATGTATTACTTTGTTATTGTGTTGTTAGTTGTGTTATCCTTGTTGTGGAAAATCGCTTTTCTCTTCAGCTACTGAACCAATTGCTTTAAAATTTTCAGTGGAGGAGACAAATGTTAGAACAGCTATTCTTGTTTTTTATGTTCAATGACTTTATTTTATGTAAATATCTATTTTACAGGAAATGGACGACCAAATTCAATCTGCTGACTTCTTCCCATGTGATGAAGGAGCTGTGGTTGCTGTAGCTATGACAACCGGTCGATGGCTGGTTCTAGACTCAGAAACATCTGAACTTGTTACTGTGCATACTGATGGAAATGAACAACATGATGTTATAACTTACTCGCCAGGTAGGAGATGCCCAATAGGATATCAACTTTAATAATGTATTTATATGGTTATTAATGGATAATTTTGTTGTTTGACCTATCTTTGGTACTATTGCATGCATCTGCGGACATTTGTTTTTGCTTATAGATTACACTTGCGAGCACTCGCGCGATTTGCATCTAAGTTTGCACTTGTGTTTATTTGCACTGTACTTTCTAATATAATACTTATATCTGTGAATATATTCTTCAGATGGAAACTTCATTGCCATTGGATCTCATGATAACAACATCTACATTTATGCTGTCAGTGAAAATGGCAGGAAATATCAAAAACAAGGAAAGTGTGTCGGACACAGTAGTTACATAACACATGTAGATTGGTCAAGTGATAGCACCATGTTGCAGTCAAATTCCGGCGATTATGAAGTTTTATATTGTGAGTAGGGATTCTATTATTTTCAATTCATTGACAGTTGCTGGATAGTTACTTGCCAGCTCTGGGGGGTATTCTTTTCATTGATGTACAGCTCCACACTTAACTCGCTGAGTTAAGTCCCTTGAATGACCTGGCAGACTGATTGTATTCCTCATATGTATACACATATGTTATTATCATAATGCACAGAAGCTTTGAAATTTTTGCTATGAAAACTTGCCATTTTAGTTTGAGTTTATTCCACAAATAGTAGCTTAATTGAAAACGCTTAAACAAAATATCCAAAGAGTGGAGGTGGGAAATATAAGTAAATTGGGCCTGACCAGAACACCGTCAAGCAATATACAGCCCAGTCCTGCATGGCCCTCCACCTACCTACCTTTATAAAGATAAACTTTAAATGAATCAAGCACCACACGTGATAGACTTTCATGGCGAGGATGGGACAAGACATTCAAGTTAAGTCTCACTGGTGGTTAGTTCATGACGAGTCCGAGTCTTTGATAAATAGTGACTCTAGCCTCCCAACACCACAAACAGTCTTGTTTGCTTCAATCTTTTTATTCAATGTAATACTCAACTCTGAGAAAATTTCCGTATTTTTTTTTGTATAAGGGGATGCTCGTACATGCAAGCAAATTGCATCTGCCTCCTCAACCAGAGATGTAGAATGGGCAACTAGTACATGCACTCTGGGATTCAATGCTTTTGGTAAGGATTGTACATTTACATGATTGTCCAATACAATGTGTCCACTGTCCACAAACATATATCACAATAGGGCGCTCCAGATGTATGTGTACCAATATGGAGGTAACTAATTTTGCTCGCTCACTTTACATCAAGTTGTGTAAAGGGACTGAAACTTATGGGCGAAGGGTATATTCACTTGGCTAACACAGACAGTCCCCAGACTTGTAATAGAACTAAATCTGGATAAAATTAGGGCCTAATCCTAACCTGGTACAAATACTAGGGTGGTTCTCACAATAATGCTAAATAACTACCGCAATGAATATTCGTAAAATACTGTAATATTTCTATAAATCAAGCACGATTGGAAGACCTGACCTTAGCATATGATAGCGGGTTTCATACTATATCGTACCAGCAAGATGATTATATGTTTTTAATTTAGGTGTATGGCCAGAAGGTGCTGATGGTACAGATGTAAATGCTGTTTGCAGATCACATGATACAGCTTACTTGGCATCTGGTGATGATTTTGGAAAAGTTCATCTTTACAAATATCCATGTAATAAACCAAGGGTATGTGATTTATTAATGTCTATTTATTATTTTTGAAGGTATTTTCATGTTGTCATTATCGGACACTAAGTGGGCCTATGGATCATTTTTTTGTTGTTAACATTCTTCTTCTTGTTGTTGTTGTTGTGAAAAAAAACGCTTTTCTCTTTAACTACTGGACAAATTACTTTGAAACTTTCAGTGGTTAAAGATAAACGTTGTCGCTAGGAAGCAATTACTTTTACTTATTTCAAAAATGTTATGGGCATTATGGGTTCGTTTCTCACTTTTGCGCAATAAGGTCATCAAAATTAAAAATTACGCACAATGGGCAGTTCTGTGTTTGCATTTTTAGCGAGCTAGCGGTCTTTATTGCTCTCGTTTTATTATGGTGTTTTCATTCAGGCTCCCAGCTCTAAGCATTCTGGACACAGCAGTCATGTGACTTGCGTGAGGTTTCTAGGGGATGACAGCACTCTCTTGTCCACTGGAGGTCAGGATTGTGGTATTATGCAATGGAAGGTCGTTTAATCCTGTAGCCACCTGTGAATTAATTCAAAAGCCTGTGTATAATAATACAGTCAAGTCCAGTGTTTATCTGTTGAAACAGTACTTATCATCAAAACTTTTAGTATCTTTCATCTTAAAAATGTATTCATGGAGATTTGTAATTCCTCTTAACGTCTACACATTTTAGTAATTTTGAGTGTTCAATGTTTGGTGCAATCACTGACATATTAACCAAATGGAAAGCTCCATACTAATTGTGTTCGCATGTTTGAGATTCGAAGCTTTTAGCTAGTATGTTTTATTAAATCGTTTTTTGTAACCTGATGTCTGATAGTATTTGTAGATGTTGCACATGTTCTTATTAAATTGTCTTTATAGCAGTGGGTGGTATTGTTAATATTGCGTGTTGCTGACAAGAAGGGTATGTTTTACCTAAATTAGGGATAAATGTCCTGTCAGGCAGTATTTTTATCAGCCCAATCTATGGTAAATAGGAAAGTTTCTTATTTTGCAAAATTGTGTGCACCTATTACGCCTTACGTAGAAAACATCTTTAACCTAAATCTAAGAGACCTCATAGTGATGTCTACTGACCAGTGTTCCCTCTAAAGTGTGCGCGCGCACACAGCTTTCAGAGGCCGCGCACACGCATAGATTTACTGCGCACAGACGTATTTCGATGTAATGTAACAATGTTCTCGGTTGGCAGGTTGAGAAAGTTGTTGGCCCACTTATTACCCGGTTAGAACGCCAAAATTTCTTCATTGGTTTTTGCACAAATATTGGTCATTTCCGAAAAAGTGCGCACACATACTACAAAAAATTAGAGGGAACATTGCTACTGACATATTTCGAAGTATTGGTGACGTAGCAGACGATATTCGTGATTGAGCAACTCCAAGGCAAGGAATTTGGGAACAACTAGATGACCATTTGATATGCTATGTATGTTTTGCCAACCTTGATGAACAAAAAGCTGCTGTTTTGCAAGCCAATTGAATTGGGATGTCGGGGAATTGACCTTTTTTAAATAATCCACAGCATGTATTTAGTTTTTTACCATGGTCGTAATCAAGACGAAAGATCGATCTCGAGTAATCAAAGGAAAGATTAAACGAAAACGTGTGTGGCTCTTCACCCAAAAGTTCATTGACATTTGTAAAAAGAATCATCCATCCCATTAAATGTGATTTCACTGACTTTGGTTGTTTAGTTTGTTCGTTTTTAAATAAACTCATGGCAGAAAAGGTATTTTATTGAGGAAAGTATCATGACGTTTTTCACGGGAAGTCGCAACTTGAGCATATTTTTCGGGAGGCGTCCTATTACAAAAAAGTTTGAGAACCACTGGGCTAAACCATACAGCATTTATCATGATTCGACAAGAAACTATAGGTAATTTCTGTGACCTGACCTGCCGTACAACACATATCATCAACTACATCAAAGAAATTATATCCTTGAATACTACTAAACAAATATTTGCAAAAATTTATTTAAGACAAAGAAAAAGTCTTAAATTTTATTGAGTCAATAGTAGAGAAAACCAGTAATATGGTTCAATAGCAAGTTATGCTGTCCCCCAAGATGCAATGCAGTTCATCCAATCTCTAGTGAGTTTTTTCATGGAGAACCGTCGACGCAAGTTTCATTTTCCAAAGTTTGAGACCTTTGTTGAAATACTAACTGACCAGTCCTAAGAAATCATCCATAAGTGAACCAATGGCAAACTGGAAAATAAATATTTCTTACATTATTTAAAAAAAATCCGAGTTGTATAGCATAACAATAATCTTGGACCAAAAATCAAGTCTTTGAAACCCTACTGGGCTAATCACACCGCTGTGTGTGGGTGGAGACTTGTAAAGTAGTATGTATCGAGAAATAATAAAACATATTTACTTCAATTAATGTCCTTGTGTGCGCATGCACAGTATCTGAACTTATGTTTGATAAATATTTCATAACTAAAAGTTTGCGACAAGGATACACATGTCATTTCATGCTGACTTGACAAAATCATCATTATCTTTTATCAAACACTGGAATGAAACCCTTAAATTGTTTGACTTACAATATCATTTGCATCAACTCTTGTACCAACAATTTTTAATCGAATTTCATCATCTTGCTGTATAACAACATCTTCATCTTCTGTTTTATAACAAGGAGGATGAGATTCTGGATCAAACTTCATATCTGATGGAATTGACTGATGAAAAAATTAATTCATTTTAAAAACTGAAGAGCAGGAGCTCATGGCTATTAATATAAGGAGCGTTGCATTAACACATTAATGGGATGCAGAAAATAATCTTACAGCTGAGTGAAGTGTGACGGATACCACTAGCGGACAAGATAGCCTCATGGAATCAGCTTGCCGAAAAAAAACATTTGTGTTTTTTTATGTCATGGATTATGATGTACACTTACAAAGCTTAATAAATGGCCATATAGAGTCAAAAAAAAAAAAATGGTTTCATACATACATGTCTAGATATAAAACATGACATAGGTCCAATTTCTGTAAAAAGTCCAACTTTATTGACTTGTGTCACTACGGCATCTACGACTTCACCCTTGAAAGGTCGGAACACAATTGCTTTGTATTTTATCGGATATAGAACAAAACCTCTTCCAGGTTGTATTTTTCCGTCCCCAATATTATCAATTGTAGTAACCGCTATTACAAACCCATGCCTAGAATACAATTTGAAATATGTTTTGTAATAACATTGTCTGGACCAGCAAAACGATTCCTAATAATAAAATCAGTTCAAAATGCACAAAATCTAATAAAATCAAAACTGGAGTTTTTTTTCTACCCAGTAAGGAAAAAATAATTATTGGGATTCATCAATTCAGTTCATGGGATTACTGATTAGTGATTACTGATTAAAAAGACTGGGGTAATTTGCAAATGTATGTAAGTTGATATAAACATGGCTCGGTTGAATCTATAGGTTATCGTTTATAGGATTGAGGAATTAAATCAAATTCTTTTTTGATCATATTGTGAGATTTCATCTGTTTAAAATAATAGTTTTGTAAATGTAACTATTTTGAGTTATTCCTAAAATCAGGAACATAAGATATTTAATTTCATATCAAGTTGGATATGTTGTTCATTTTGAACATCCATGGGTGACATACTTTCCAGTACAGGTTCCTTCAACTTCTGCAAACAGCTTTTGCTTGACTGTTTGCAGCAAATTTGGTCCAAAATATCTTGGGTGAAGAAGTATTTCATGCTCCAAGGAAATCTGTAATAAAGTTTCTGTGTTATGTATCATTTTGGTCCATGTTAGAGACAAAAGATTGGAATTAAACTGTATTGAACATAATCAGATTTTATTACTGAATATCTTTTACATTTTGTAATACAACATCTTGTAGAAAATAAACACTGATAAATCGGGACACACTTTCACTGTTTTTGAACCATTTATATACAGATATGAAAATTGTTTCTTTATTTCCAATTTTATGAACAAATAAAAATATAGAAAAATGAATCCCATACTTACATGATAAAACATATTATTTGCATACAGTAATGACCTTTTAGTTATTACCAGTGTATCTCTCTTATATTCCGGTGAAATATTCACTGTCGAAGCTCTTAATTTAATGTCAATATTCAGTAATGATAAATACTCTGCAAAAAGAAAATTCAAAAACCCATTTCGGCATTTAGATATAATCTTGATATTTCACGAGTTATTTTTCAAAGAATTAGGCACTGGGAAAAAGGGTTAAAATATAGATCTATAAACTCTATCAATAAGCAGGTAAAAGGAGAAATATCGGGTCTCGTGTAGTTTCTTACCTAACATACTTCTAGTGGGCGTAGCATCACAATTTTTCGACATGTCAATCCCAACCCCCACCAGACTATGCCATCCAAAAATTACGTCACTACGACATCACAATCACGTCATAGAGCTTGTTAAATATACGTACTATCGTCCGAAATGGCATCTGCGCCGACGATAAAGAACTTACTAACGTCAGCGATCTCTCTCATATTGGAATCGTCGCCACGTAAAAACGAGAGAAATAGCCGTTCGATTTCGGGTGAGCAGACGTGCGCGTCTTGGATGACAGTTCGTATAGTTTGAAGGTCTCTATTACGTCACTGTGACGTCGTAGAGACGTAATATTTGGATGGCATAGTCAGGTGGGGGTTAGGATTGACACATGAAAAAATTGTTGTGCTACGCCCGCTAGAAGTATGTTAGGTAGGAAACTACATGAGACCCGAAATATCCACATAAGACTAACAACTACCAGCTGGACTGGATTTTATTAGGTTTCATATATAAAAAATATATACCGATTTTAATACAATCGTAATAGACAATACCACGAATTCTCATTTTTCAATGTTTGCCTATCTTTCCCTTTTCAGAACCAATATTTTAATACTCTCTTTTATAGTGGCAAAAAAGCTATTAAACTTCGGTCGTCTTTCTGTCTTTACCAATTTTGCATTTATAAAAATAAAATCAGCCAGCATGCTAAACATAATTAGACTACAAATCATGTCAAACTTTTTTTTGTCTATCCCCACTGGTTTAAATGTTCCCAGAAAATTGATGAATTAATTATTTATTTCGGTACTCTGACATAAAACCAAAACAGCACAAAAAGTAGACAGACAAACAAAATGCAGAGATACCTGGAAGGCGCGCATGAGCATAAATTAAAATAGATTAAAAACATTAAAAAAAAAGTTGAAAAACGTGAAAGTACGCGCCCGCCCACCAAAAAAATAATAATAATACAAGCCTACAAGAAACTCGATTCAGAATCGGGCAATGATTTAAGAAAACACATAATTGCTGAAGAGTTCAGTGGACAATTTACAGGGAATAATAACAAAAATTAGGTAGATAAATTATAATAACGTAATATAAACGTAATATACTTCGAACTTTTTCCGTCTAATTATGGTAATTGAGAGATCATCAGGATTTACCCCACATATCTTGTACATAAATAAAGCTGATTTCAAATAATTGAATGCAGCAAATTCGGGGATTCTAGGTCGTGTCTGTATGTGTATCTAAATAGGGAAATAGCTGTACGAAACATCTTGCTTTTAAAGACATAAAAAAATCACCAACAATTTATCAAATGTACAAAACAGATAAAAAAAATGCACGATGAAAGACAGCATGAAGTTTCGAACATTGGGAATAAAGTGTAACTTTGCAAAATCACTACAAAAATTCCAAATAGATTCCATAGATCAATAGACGCACTGCTTTGATAAGTTTGTTAACAAATATTGACCACAGCAAATCTGAATGAGAGTGCTATGCAAGTGGGATAATACCTACTCATTACAGCCTTATGGTTATGGAATAGGGTCTTAAAAATATGCTAGCCATCATAGCATGTTGCTGTTCAAAAAGAACAAAAATAAAGTGATAGTAGCCTACAGACAGGCTTGAAACAGTTGTGAATACGGTACAAAGTCAAACAAAGCATGTCAATGTTAGAAGCAAATAGTGACTAGTAGTGAACACTGCAATAGTAATTACATTTATGATATAGGTGATTGACATTCTCAACTTTCACATTATAAATTTGAATACCAAATTAAATCCTTATAAAACATTATTCAACACAATTTTTTTTTTTTTTTTTTTTTTAAATGGATCCACAATGTGGATTATTCAATATGTAAATAATAAATAAATGCAATATAAATAAAGATATATTGTGTACCGTAAGTGAACAAACATATATACCAGTAATATCAAGATAATTCCATCAGATATAATATTCCATATAATCCAGGGAGTTCCAATAATTCATTTGTTGATTTCGTAATACAAATTACATAGTTTATTTTTAATTATTTAGCATGAAAAAACATAATTTTATAATTATTCACAAGTTATTACAAATCATGGCAAGTTCTTTTATATAACAAAATTCCTTTCTCACTTTTTCTATATTTCTTCTCATTAGAAGTGAGTTGCTAATTTTCATAATAACATTATTGTGATTGTTGTAAACTGCTTGTCTGAGGAAGTCTGATTTTGGTCAGACGAAACGTTACAGAAATATATTTGTGTTAGTGTGCAGCAGGACTCTTGAATTGCATATTATGGTATTTTATTCCTGCTACAGCATCCTTGCATTACATGCATACGGATCCACTAGCGCAAAGGCATAGAGAAAGGACTGGGAGTTAGTCTCGCGCAACCTCTACTGATCGATATATTAGCCTTTTTCGCGTGACTTCTGTATCCGAATGGATCCTGCCAAACTCCGGACTCGACAACTACCACAAGAAAAGAATTTAGAAGAAATACTAAAAAGAATTCAACGCCTTTAAAAGAATCACATTATAAGGACCCTGGCTATCAAGATCTGAGCCTAGAACACATTGATAAATGTTCTAGTGAAACTTATTGTGAAATCAAGCACGCCGCGGAACAATTATTCCATGCTGAGAACCGATTGCATTTTTTTATTTCGCAATCTGTTTCTGAATATCAATAATTGTTTTTTCATTGTTTGCTCACAATTAATTTCAAACAAATTTATTTATCGCCATATTTAAACTGCATGATTGCTCTTTTCTTGTCATTGTTGTAAACTGCTTGTCTGAGCAATGACATTAAACAACATGATGCGCAACTCCGGCATTTTTGTCCGAAGATCGTATTCGATAGCACGCTCCAATGCACATACTTGACGAGACGAAAACGAGCGGATGTGTGCTGCTTTCATGGCGTAGCACGAATGGTGTTCGTGCCTGCTTTGACAGTTGTTGTCGATTTTAATGATATTTTTGAAAGTTGGGGTAAAAAGAAATCGGTAAAAGGTAAGGTGAATACTATTGTTGTATATCACACCCGGGCATCGCACTGTTAAGTACATGTGGGAAAGCCAGCCTTTGTCAAAAACTACGAAGTTATTAATTCAGTACGGTACGTAGTTGCCCATTTGCCGAGATTACATATTTACTTACCCCTCATGGTTTCAAATAGTTCATGCACCTCCAGTTAGATTTTTTTAATCAGTGAGGATATATACTCATTGTTGATTGCTGCTCATTGTAACATACTATTACGCATTCACTTTTATTTGCGTATTGAATCAAAGTGTTAACAAGTTCACCTAACATTTCACTCATACCGGTCTATATTGTATAGTCTGATTTCTCAAGTATTTGGAGCCACGAATGCTTGTAATTTTCTGACTAAACCCTTTTATTAGTTGGTTTATATACCAAATTCAGTAAAATATTTTTTAAATAAAACATGAGATATTGGATTTATTAGCTTTCCATTCTGAATCATATAGACTGCTTTATTTATTCTTAACGAAAATTAATAAATCTCCTCTCTTTCTTCAGATGTGAAAGTTGTGGACAAACCTGTCTAAGCATTGTGAGACTCTTGCAGCACAAGAGGCAATAGCAGAAATAGTAAGTATATCAATCAAGAAATTAAGCCGACATAAAGCAAAACTTTCAACTATTCGTCTAATCTCAATTTTCTATTATTTATTCACAGGACAACTATAGCAGACGAGGAGATATCAGAAGTCTGGCGACATATCAGTGACAGTGTGATTCCAAGAAATACAATGCAATTGAAAATAGAGAATTGCAATAGAAAAACAACCTATGGAGGCATGCAAAGACATTTGACCCTCCGGTAGAGTTGTGTATGGCCCCCACATCCTGCAGGGCTTGAGGAAAATAACTAAAAATTCCAAAGCGTAAGATTGCATAAGCAGTCTTATTTGTAAAAAGGCACAAAACTCGCCAGACATACTTAAAACAGCTTTGGAAATGAGGATTACGGGTACCTCACTGCACCTGTGTTATATTTGGTTCATCAACTTTTGGTAGTACTATAGAAGAAATTCCGGAAGGGGTATAATCATCATTCATGATAAAATACTATCATATATTTTTTGAACAACTTCAATCTAGACCAGGGATCTTAAACTCGCGGCCCCAGAGAACTTCCAGTGCGGCCCTCGAACGCTTAACAATAATTGTAATAGTATTTTGGAAGTTTTTTTTCATCTAAATGTAATAGATTTTTCAAACCTTCTAAAGTGAAATTGATTATTCACACAGAAAACAATTTACTGAAAGTAGTTTTGGAATATTAATTTTTTTTGTCCACACTTTGACCCAATTAAGAATACACATCAAGCTAGCAAAAGAATACTTGAATAAAACACTTGAGTAATTAAATTAAACGCAAAGTACATGAAGAAGGTGGCATTTTCGAAGAAAATGGGAGTTGTAACATTTCTGCTCTTCACAAAATTCTGAAGCACATTGTTTAATTTGTCATATTTCCATCAATACAATCAAAAAACACAATAAGCTCAGCAGTCAATATGACAAATTCGAAGACCAATTTCGAACAGAAAATTTCCATGTGTTTGTATATTAATATAATTATACAACGACTTAGTTACTAAAAATCAATATCAATAATAATTCAAGCAATCCTATGCCACGCAATGTAGTGCGAAATGTCTTGTCGAAAAAATCTGTCATTTGTTTTTTTACTGATCTATACATGAAATGATAAAAGTAACTTTTTTGCATTACTGGAATTAATTAAACATTCGTAAAGATCCAGATAAACCCATGATCATGTGGCCTCGTTAGTTAGAGTTGGTACTATAAAATCATTTCAGACTGGCCTTAGTATGCTGGTGACACAAAAAAGATGCCAAACGCCAGGACAAATGTAATTATTAAAACATTGAGTTTATACTGTAGTATTTTTGTTAATTTTAGGTTCATATATTTAGATTAAGTTATTTTTAGTGTATGTATTATTCTTTCCTTATTCAAAGCTTGTTCAAAAATGATTTTGATGGTTGTACATAGAATTTTACGATTTTTTATAATAAATACTGTAACTTGCAAATGTTGCAATAATAGTGGAATGCAAATATTAATATGTAATTGCATTTGAAATTGAAGAAAATAATAAAACTTAATCCAACTGTTTAGTTGCATCACAATATATGTCACAAACTAAAACTATCTTAAAAATATCTTTTGAGTATACATTATCAAAAACTGTTTGCGGCTCTTTTTACAATTTTCAAAATTCCAGCACAGTTTTGTATGACACCCTCTTTAAATGAAATTTCAATGATTAAGCGCAAACATTAAAATTACTAACTTTGAACTTTGTCATTATCTGCAAAATGTTCCACACAAATCTTTCCGCTATCGCGTTTGTAATCTTCTCTGATAAAAAAAAAGTCTATGATGTCCAGAATTGCTCTTTACAGCTTGCCTGTTATTCCAGCTTTCCAAGTAAGCAAAACTTCTTAGATATAGAGATTATTTTGTTTCGTTACAGGCGCAAAAAGGCAGGTACTACACGTAAAAAAGACGCCGAGTAGCAAAAGCGAGCGGAAAACGGACGCGAAAGGCGACGAGAAATATGTGCATTGGAGCGTATCATGAAATACAATGTTTTGCCTGTAGTCTTATGGAGTGACGTCAGAGTTGCCTATCATGTTGTTTAATGTCATTGGTCTGAGGAAGTCTGATTTTGGTCAGACGAAACGTTACAGAAATATATTTGTGTTAGTGTGCAGCAGGACTCTTGAATTGCATATTATGGTATTTTATTCCTGCTACAGCATCCTTGCATTACATGCATACGGATCCACTAGCGCAAAGGCATAGAGAAAGGACTGGGAGTTAGTCTCGCGCAACCTCTACTGAACATTATTTATGCTTGGGTTATGATTTTGAAATATTACAGCGTTACGCTCCCTATTTTTTCCTATTTATATTTATATATTTATATTTCCCTATTAAACAGTGCGATGAGAGGGGACCTGCCTGACTGTAATGAGAGTTGAATGCAGATGGATTACAGACCAGCATCGCCACCTAGTGACTACTCAAAATTTCATCAACACATGTCAGGGTATTCCCCGAAAGTAGACTCGATATCTATCGCGATTTGTTTCTGAAAGCATTTTTAAACTTTTGTTCCCCGACAGCTCCAGCGATGGGACAATGAACATTGAAACATATTTTGAGAAAGGATCAAGTTTTGCTGATTTTTAAATTTAGTTAAGAGTCAACTATATTTTCCCTCAACTGCTTACTAATTGAAATGACTGACTGTTAACTGTTTGAGCTACCGGTACAGCTCCTTTCTCTTTTTTAAAGGTCCTTGATTTTGATTTTGCAACTACTGCACCGTACTACAGTACCTACCGTACCGGTACTAGATACATGGTGAGGCAATTAGGCATAAATAATGCAAGAGGAGATGGGTTATGTTGACTGCCATTGTCATCTTGCTGCACCTGAGTTTGCTGATGATCTAGATATTGTTGTGAAGCGAGGGAAGGAAGCAAACATCAAAGCAATCATTGTTGTTCCTGAATTTTTCACAGAATTTGAAAGGACATTGGATATTTGTGAACAATATTCAGACTTTTTGTTTCCTTGCCTTGGAATCCATCCAGTTCAGGTATGCATAACCACGGTGTGGCTCAACGGGCTAAGCGTTAGGAATACGCTCGCCACCGCACCTCTAATTACTCTGCGTGGGTTCGCAGGTTCGAATCTCATGCAGGGATGGTTATGTGCGAGAGGATTGCTGGACTCCTCGCCGTCGTTGGGTGGTTCACGTAACCGCTGGTCGGTTACGGCTTCCTCCACCACCAAGTCCATGCTTTCGAAAACAAACAATACAGTAAAAACTAATCCCATACCCGACTTGGAATGGTAACCGGACGAGAGGCCGTGGTTTGCCATATGGATAAGCCGTCTTATCGGCTTTCCTCTCCCCCGGGATAAATATGTAAATCCTATCCTATCCACTTATGTTTAGTATGCAGATACATGGCCACCCATTCAGAATGTTGGAAATGAATGGCCCAGCTAGACATGTCTAAAAATCAGGAGATCAAATACTTTCGGCTCTCAAGCGTTACTGCAATTATGCATCTTATTTGAGCCTGAAATTCCACATATGTTCCTATGTTATATTGTATATTTCAATCAATGATTTAAAGTTTTACTTGACATGATACAGTGATAGGGATGATTTTGACATAGTTTGGTTTAGTATGGTATTCATACTGTCTGCAAACTATTCAATTCTATTCATATTTGCTGCAAACATAATGTGGAAACAATTATTCTGTTGTGGAATTTGGAATTGATTGAGGGTATTAATAAATTTATGTTTATAAAAAATATAATAAATTACTCTAATATTATTAATTTGTGATATATGAGATAAAAAAATAGTAGAAATGTGTGACATCGACTTCGCAAGTAAACATTTAGGAATCAAAATAGCGTTTGGATTCTGCTGCGTATATCCTTGTCACCAAACTGATATATTTTTTGTATAAAGAGGGATTCCGAACTCACAGAAAGAAGTGTGATGCCAGATGATTTGAAGGATGCAATTCCATTTATTGATTCACATTACAATGAAATTGTTGGAATAGGAGAAGTTGGACTTGATTTCACACCTTTTTATACCAAAGAAATCGATAGTAAAGAGAAACAAAGAGAAGTTTTACGTTTCCAGGTACTATTTGTCAGCACCATTATCTTATCTGTCATTTTAATTTTTCACTGAATTGATTAAATTGTTGTTGAATGTTAATAATACATTTTCTATTATTTCAGTTGTAATCTGAATTATTTCTATTACAGGCCGCTCTGGCTCAGAAGTATGATCTTCCATTGTGAGTATTTTTATTATTGAGATCGATATGGTTTAAAATGAAAAATGAGTCTTCCTAATAGCAGGCAAGGCGGTTTACTTGAGAACTTTTGTTCAATACAATATTTTTTTAGAAATGTACACTCACGGTCAGCAGGTAGGCCGACAATAAAAGCATTGAAGGAATGTGGTGCAACAAAAGTTGTGTTGCATGCATACAGCGGGAATGCAGCTTCTGCAATGGAAGGAGTTCAAGCCGGTTATTATTTTTCTATACCACCCTGTATTGTGAGGAGTGAACAGGTACCGTAATCAACTGAAATTGTTGAAAATTTATTCACCATTGTCAAAATGATACAAACAAGCCACAAATCATGTTAAGTACTTTTATCTTGATTATTTAAACATTTTGTCTTTGATGCTTCACAAAATTTGCATTGTTTTCAGAAACAAAACATTGTCAAACGAATTCCAATGGACAATATTTTACTTGAAACTGATTCACCAGCTTTAGGACCAGAAAAGCAGGTAGATCATCTATTTTCTTTTGTCTTTCATTTTTGTCCATTTTGTTTTTTTTACAAAATTTATCATCAACTCTGCTATGTGGGCACTTTGTCTAACCATTTTTTTTATCTGAGATCTGAGCCGTACATATATGTCAACAACCAGCTTCATCAATGACTATACAATGCTTATATATGTTTTATTTATTTATATTTCATACAAAACTTTTTATTACGCACAGGTCAGAAATGAACCGAGTAATATTACAATATCATGCGAGTGGATTGCGAAAATAAAAGGTATTTCAGTGGAAGACGTACAAAAAATCACAACAGAAAATGCATGCAAGTTGTTTCCAAAGCTAAAAAGCGTATTACTGGAGTGATGTGGACATTTGAAATAGAGGCAGAGTTGACGGAAGGCAACGATTTGTCTGGCATTGGGGTTGCTCATTGGATTATTATTTAGAATGCAATCCTAACTAGTATGTGCTATCAGGTACCAGTTTTTTTCAATAACAACACATCGAAAAAAGATTTAAATAAAAATATTTTTTCAAAAACTGGTTGAATATTAACAGGTTAGGTTATCGAGACTTTTGTAGTTTGAACTGGAGGTATGAGCTCGCATTAGCAAAACACTCATATGTCTTTCTTATCTATGTATTCTATAGGCTTAATCGCAGGTATTCAACAAAGAATCACCGATGTGTACACCACTTTGTGGCTGAAAAAATTTCTACATATCGATAACATAATTCACTGTGATGAATTAACTTCAAGACTTTCTTCGATTCAAGTTCTTGCTTGTCAACCAAATTTCGACACATTCAGTTTTACCGTCTTGACGTTTCCCTGAACGTGTTGATTCAAAGTGATTCAAATACAATGTCAACGGCAGAACCGCCATCAAATGACATATATATCACAAACAAAAACCCACTTATAACTCTTAAGCATGTCATGATCACTCTTGGTACTCCCCACACTTCACAGGCAAGGGAAAACTTGTATAAAAAATGGTATAGTGCATTTAAATGTTGGTGTTACTAGTCGGATTATCGTTGAAACATCTTGCCAATTCTTCCTATTATCAACTGTGGAAGACTGGCCGCTTGCATTGGCCTTTTCACTGGCATTGCTCCTGTGATAATGTAATTCAGAAGTAAACATTTGTGTGAAGTTCATTGTCTACGGAAACCTCGGTAAAACTTGAAAAGTGTGTCCAAAATTAGTCACACTTAAACGGGAGTTATTCAGCAGCCCCTTGAGACATTAATAATCTGCATTTCTGTCTCTATCTACTATAGTAACTTGCGTTTTAAAATGATCATACAATAAGTAAATGGTGTTCTTTACCTTGATCCCGTTTATGAAATAAAAACGGAAACACCATTAATTATGGCCTTATTATTTAATTATTGAAAATTCCACTTTGTTGGAACCATAAAAAATAATATTAATAATAATTATGGCCTACCAGGTACCAGCCCAACCCGCGCATTCTTTGCCACAAACCTTGTGCATCTTCAACTTTTGTTATATTTTCGTTCGACTGTAATTTTTGTTCTTCAGAATTTACACTCGTATGTTTTGGCACGGATATTTTTAAAGGAGTCCTTTCGTTGCTTATTCTCGACTTCGAAGGATCGGCAACTTTCTTAAGTTCGCCATCGCTCTGTGTGTTTGTAGGAGAGGATATTTTACCATGGTTGCGAGTCGCTAAAGATGATTCTTCTACGGCAAAGTAACTACTCAGAGCTAAAAGAATCATCGTTCGATTAAATGCTTCATTAGATTGGCATAAGCCTGTGCATAAACATAAAACTGTCAGTCAACACGTACTTATGAAGATGTGAGCGCTGTATCCGGACTCGCTTAACGACCGGAAATTTTTTTTAATATTGATCGACGTTTTGGAATATGACGCATGGTTCGACTTTCAGTATGGATACTACTGGAAACAAGTCACTTCAAAAATGATAGTATTTTATCGTGTATGTGACACTTTCATGTTATAGTATATATTATATGATTGCAAAGGCCTCTGCTTCGGCCAATTACGAATCATTTTAATTAGATCCCAGTGATGAGAAGCAATATATACTTATTTGCCGATTTTCTGTTCTCTCCAATTGCAGTATCTTGCTTAATCGATAGTTTGACGTTTTCTGGTTCTCGATATATCACGTTATTAATGATCGAGTATGAAAAATTGTGGTAAAGTGGCATTGTTACAGGAACTTGTTTCTTAGTTGAAATAATTTTAGCTTCATTCGAAGCGCATTTTTATTAACTGTATTTCTAAGTATATACAAGGTATTAAGCAGGATATCTGAACGGATTATCGTATGCAAAAGAAGTGGCGCAGTTTCTATAATGCACTTATTTTCACAAATCTATTTACCTACAGTAAATAAATATACGGTACATAAATAATGAATATAAGATAAGGGAAATTGGAAAAAAACTAGATCAGTTTTTTTACGAAATACTTTTAATACAACGTAATAACGAAAATCGTTAAATTGACCCAAAATTTGAACGAAATCCGATTTTGGGGCTCAAAAAATTTTTTTGGTTACGGATAAATTGTTTCAGCATTAGTCAAATAAAAAAATGAAAAAAAAAATTGATCAATTTTCCAACAATAAATATAACGTGAATACGTGATAACGTAAATTTCACGTAAATCCGAAAAATCGACCCAGAATTTAAAAAAGATCTGTCTTTGGGGCTCAAAAATATTTTGAGTATAGATGCATGGTATTATATCTTTTCAATCAAATAAAGAAAGTGGGAAAAAACTCTATCAGTATTCTAACAAAATACTTTTAATACAACGTAATAACCTAAATTTCGGAAAATTGTTAAACTTACCCAAAATTTGAACAAGATCCGCTTTGGGTATCAAAAAATATAGTGGGTACGGATTGTTACTTTCAACATCTTTCCAACCAGATGAAGAAATTGGAAAAAACTCGATCAGTTTTCTAACAAAAACTGTTAATACAACGCAATACCTTACATTCACCTAAATCTCAAAAATGAAATTAACCCGAAATTTGAACAAGATCAAGAAAATAATTTTATATATGGATTGTTTATTTTAAAATCTTTCTAATTAAATAGAGAAATAGGACAATTATGACTTCGCACACAATAGGTCAGCTTAAGCCATGGTTGCCGTTTATTTCTAGTCCTTCCAAACATAAACATATATATCATTCTTTGCTGAGCGGCGTTCGGCCCTGATACTGGACAGCTTTAAATTATAACACTGCAAAATGATCTCCTCCTCGGAGCATATACGGTTGTGTCCAATGCTTGGGGCCCAGTCAACACAGAAATATACAGTGGTACAGCAGCTTTGAAAGTCGCAAGCTTGTTCGGCTAAACCTATCTTTGTTCATTAACATTTTCTGACGTGAACTTCATCAAAAGAAAACACAAAGCACACCTCACTGATAAACATCTTCAAGACTCACAGAGGGACAGTGTCAAGTTAAGCAACGTTCTATTTGAAAAATGTACATGGCAAATGTTCGGCTAACTTTCTTACTAATACAATTCTTCTCTACCACTATATAGAGGTAGGTGCACTCTGGCGTTTGGGTTTACGTCATCTCATATTTCATGTCCATAGTCCATGCTTGGGGGATTTCTTCTGTTCGAAATGAAATGCGTTGAGTTGAATAAATTGTAATGAATTAATTAGATAATGACTACCTTGATATTAGGCTTTATTCAACCTATATCTGATTCTGAAGTGAAATTAAACACAGGTAAATGTAGCTATCCAAATAAGAAAAAAAAGGTAGCGAATCGCTGACGCTAGCAGTAATCCAGTCAGTAGTGAAGTGAGTAAAGCAACAACACACTACAGCACAGCAATTATTGATGTCTGATTTTAAACGCGCTGCAACAATTACCGCTGGACTGCAACAACTGTTTAAACCAGTGTTCTTCAACTTGTTTTACCGTGGTATATCTTTTACAATTTTCAAGAACTTTGTATACCTCACAAGCACCAATGTTCATTTAATTAATAAATAAACATTACATTTTTAATACAAATTGTGGAAAAAAATGAAACCAACGATACTGTAATATCACCATGGGATCTAATGGAATACTGTCTGTAAGTTGGAAACAGTATAAATTTGACTGACGGCCCTAGAGTCAACGGGAATATTGTTCAACGAAATCATCATCCCAGACGGTGACACCACATTTGAACCCACGTACATTTGAACCCATACATTTGCACCCGAATATCCGCGGGTTCAATCTATATGCGGATGCTAAAACCCATGCGTTTGGGTTAGTATGGGTTTAAATATCCAGGTACAGATTTTCATAGGTGCGCTGGTATAGGTGCAATCGTCATGGGTTCAAATTACGGGTTCAAATGTAATGGAACCACTCAGACGTGCCTGCGTTATCTATATATATTCTATATAACAATGTACTCAAGTCAGTTCTTTACGTAAATGACATTTTATATTTAATGTGCGCCGTGTTTGCATTGTTGTCTCTAACTGATTATTTTATAATTTAATATACCAGTATTATAGTTTAGAATCCTTGACCTAGGCTGTGCACCCTTCGTATACTGTTTATCAGTTGTATTTGTATATATACCCTCCTTGTGGTCTGGTATACGCTTGGGTGTACCGTATACTCGTTTGAAGAGCACTGGTTTAAACAGACAGTTAATTAAATTGCAAGTTATATTGCACTCCATCTATCAAGATCACAGTTAAATAAATCAGACTATAAATTTGTTTTCACGCGTTTTATTTCATAATAAACTTGCGCCGCTCATAGACTATTTTTTCACAGTTGAAAAGATTATTTAAAGAAAAAGAAATACACATGTTTTTTTATATCCCTCTTCCAAATGTTTATTCTACATCATGTGATCCATGCCAATCTATCCATTCTTATATCACAGCAGTTTGTGTGTGTGTCATCGTCTTTCAGATATTGTTTTGATCGAAGGTGATGCTGTGGCTGTCCGTTTCGTAAAACCACGTCGGAAGAACTGTTTTGTAGCCCTTCTTAATTTGCTGATAGAATATTTACATCGAAATTAGAAATTGTAAATAACGCATTTGTGATAATATTTTTTTAGTGCAACGTATGTTATTTGTTTTACGAATGCAATACTTTATATAAAAATGGGAATACAATGCCTGACTACTTAATTATCCATTCTTCCTTAATTGTCTTTTCAATCTTCTCTTTCTTTACAAAGAATACGTTCTAATCAATCGGTACGTAATAAAAATCGGGTCGCGTTTGAACGTTGTTGACTTGATATTTCAGAAAAAAAAACATTCGAATAATGATGGTCTATTACATATATCCAAAATAAATTAAGGAACTTATGAAATTACCAGGTTAAATGTATTAAAAAGATAGAGTATAAACGGAATTATTTTCAAGTAAAATTAATCCTACCTGGAAGATAAATTGTAAAACAAAGGATTCACGCATTCGCTTATCCGAAGTGCAACAAATGTCCAAACCGCAAGAAGCCAGTTTTCGCGACTGGAAAACTTTGAACCAGCGGCCATCTTTTTTAGAACAATCCAACTGTATCCTGTGAATGTGACGCGTCTGGTAAACTATGGTTCAATTTTAAATTACGAATTAAATGCTAACGGGTTTGAAGTGGGTAAGATATGTAAGTAAACAAAACAATAATCAACCAATTATGTCATAGAGTTGACTTTATTTTTGATAATAATAAATTAATTATTTTGCTGTATAATGGTAAAATTTCGGATCTATGCACTGTTCAGTTGATCGAGCAAAAAAAAAATCAAACCCAGTCAGGGGTGGTTAATCTATTTAAAAAAAAAAACAGCCATCGAGTCTTGACGAAAACATCAAAAAAAAAAAAAACTGCTCAGTTTTAAACATTTTGAAAGGCATAGTTATAATACCTTAGGTACAGTAATATTTTTATTTTTACGTCATTTTCAAGTGCAAGAACTTACCTAGGAAAGGACCGTATCCAAAGAAAAAAGACAATAAAATCAAAGAAACTTGCAGAGTTGCAACTTTCTCGTTCGACATGTTGGATTTTGACGTTGAATGAGAAGAGTGACGTCCAACTAAGTTTGAAAAAATATTGAGATTGTTCCAATTGTTTTAGTATCAATGAAACGTCATTTTCGCTAAGATTTCTAATGTACATATGAAGCGATTCAGTCATTCGCAATCGCACTAATACTGTAGCCACGCCCCGAATAGATAGTTGACACATCCTTGCCGTATACAGAAACGAACAGGCTGTTCAATGGCAATAATGGGTGTTAGCATTCTGAATCGAATTAGTTCAGTCGGATATAAAGTTTTAAAAAGCTATTTTTATGTAATAATCATTTGAATGTAAGGATTCCCATATTGTGGTTGCTGGGTATTCCCCTTAATTTATCTCCGCACCGTTGCGTCATGTCAGAAGCACGACAGTCGTAACTGCACCGGTGAGCGTACATTTGAACCCACGTACATTTGAACCCATTTATATATTAGGGGGTTCAATCTATATGCGGGTGCTAAAACCTATGGGTTAGGGTTAGTATGGGTTCAAATATCCGTAAAACAAAAAAATTTCCATAGGTGCAATAGTATGCAGGTGCAATTGTCGTGGGTTCAAATGTACGAGAACCAACTGCGCCGACTCGAGCATGACGCTGACAATTCAAACATTTTATTCCCGTCTGGTTTAAATACTGTTTATTTGACGTCATCTGCTGCTGTATAAAGAAATTTAGGTGTCGATGAATCGTTAACTTTATAGTTTATTCGCGGCTCCTCGTCTGTTGCAATATTGTACGTCTGTTATTTTTTTTTCTCAATCTCGCAAATCTAATAATATTTGCTCAAAAATTGATATATGCTTTTTGTTTGATCATGCGTGATATCAGATAAAACTTACTTCTACTTTTTCGTATTCGTGGTCTCTTCAGCAAGGTTATGATGATGATTATTGTACATAAAATGATTACTATCATTGGAATGTAGACAACAAATGGGAAAGCAATTGATCTGTACAGTTCTGCAAGAGACGCCCTGTAAAAGCAGCAACGGTAAAATAAATTCTGGACACAAGTTGTATTTTCCTTGGGAGTTAGACTGTATTGTTTGCACAGATTGCATTTTGTTAGCGTGCGTCCATGTTTCTTAATTTTTATTCACGCGAACTCTTTTTCAATTAATTTTATGTTCATTTCAACCTCATCATGTACTTAAAATCGTTCCTCGTTTTTGATTTGTCATTCCAAATCTACGTACACACGAAATCTCTTAAATTTGCCAAATTTTATACTGGGTTTTTATCTAGAAATTTTTAATCTAGGAGGAGGGTGCTTCTTTAATCCTTTTTCTATGAGAAAGTTTAATTTATTTCTGTCACACGCTTATTTTGCCACGCCCTAAATTATAACCAATGGATAATATATAAATATATACATATATATAATTTTAACAAAATCACGTTTTTAATAGGAAGATAAAACATGACAACCAGGTAACAGAACAAAATTTTGTTCATATGTGGTATCTTGTGGAATATATAAAATGATGACGTAGTTAACAAACGTGAACAATAGATTACTCACCATTCATCGGCAATGGCACATGAAAAACCTGTACTTTTTCTCTCAACTGCAGACTTTATTGATACAATTATAAAATAAAAAACACTCATCACCAGCGCTGATTCTATCCAAAGAACAATGACACAAATCTAGAACACAATACATAAATGCCTTACATGGAGCCGTTTGTATGTCTAAATGACAGTCCACTATTCATCCCTCTGCATAGAGGAGGCCATTCAAATTACGGACACGACAATAATTCAAAGACAGTCATTGCGCTGGTAGTAAATCTATAAATCTTTATTTTTGATTCTTTTTGTTGCTAAATAATGGCCTTTCTTCACAATTAATAAATCAATTATAAATTTTATTTCGTATTTTTTTTTTAGATTTCTGAGTCCAATATCTTTCCCCAAATTTTTTTTTTAAATTCACGGGCACATCTTCATACGACATTCGGTACTCCTCTTTAAACATTTGACTCGATTCGAATTTAGTTATTTGAGTTTCGTGTCCTTACATTTGAGCATTTCTCTCTTACCTTAGCAACTTTCGAAGTTAAGTACACGGAAATCTTCAGGGGGTATTTAATCGATAGAAGTCTCAAAATACAAAAAACCATCACCAGATGAATTGTTGCTATTGTGGTCGTGAAGTCAACTGTAACCGTAATCTGTAAATATATTTATGTATAAGATTACTACATACACCAAGCTACACAAATGAGACGACTATGTCTATAATTGGGTTTTATTCATGTAGGCGCAATATTCATTCATACCACTGGAGTTGCTACCTTTTAGCTGGTTTGTCAGACTGCCGGCAGTGTTTGGTTGTATTGAGGTGTATAATTAATAGACTTAAGTTAACTAGGTTACTCTGCTGCAGTTGGAACCGCAAGAAGATTACCAATACATTTACGCCACACAATAAACAGCAAAATTTGGCTTAAAAAAGGAAGTTACACTATAAAGACATAACTCACCTTGCATATAAAGAGCGGTAGACCATAGCTAGCAGCCCCATACGTCATTCTATATATTATAAATATGCTGTCTACAGCGGATGCAAGGTCAGATGCCATCAATCCCATCAAAAATATATTGAATGCCATTCTGAAGGAATAGTAAAAGTAAAATAAAAAATCCTAAAAACAAAAATAAGTTCGAAAGTTACATAAATTTTCGTTAAAATAATTAAGAAATTGTTAGCCTTTCTATCTTGATATAATAAATTCACACCTTTACGATTATAGATTTGAATTGATAAACCCTCATAGTCATATAGGATGCTACCACTGGTATTTCCGTTCGAAAATTCGATAACAAGTATCGATATTTTGTTATTCTTGTTTGCGAATTAGGAATTTACTAATCGACTAAAAAAGGGCTGGCGTTCATTCTCTCATGAAATTTTCGAATATAGAGGTTGACTCCATTGACTTATTCCGTAAAATTTGCTAATCAGAAGCCAACACGCGAAAATACTCAAAAAAGGCATCAAAATGTTTGCAATGGTAAAGTATATGGAGTATTTTTTTAGGTCAAAGAAACATTTAATAATAAAGCCCATTAAATATATGGAAAAGTCTACTTACTTGTTAAGACGGGGTGAACTTGCAATGACTGCGAAGGTTATAGCATTGCTTGCTATTCCGACGACACATAATACACCGATAATTATATTCATCGCCAAAGCTTCGGAATATGAAAACATTCTGAAATAGAGATTTTTAGTTTTCTCGTTTGGATACTATTATTATTATATTGTAAATTTGAATTATACTCGACGTATTAAACCCCCAAAATTTTGGGTCAAAACAGTTTTTATCATAGAAATGAACATCAATATTAATAGTAGTGTTTTTCAACAAATCGATATGAAATCTAACTTACTGTTGGCAAAAATAATATTCTCTAATATTACAAACGTTTCAACGTCATTCACATAATTTAGCATCTAGAAAATATGCAAAAAATCATTGAGCTATTTCTATTCATATATTCACGATTAAAAGCATGCGAGAATATCTTCGCTTAGTGCATAAATATTGTTTAGAAGTTCGAATATTGCCTTTCAGAGACTTTGATGAAAGTCAGAAATTTGGTATATATATGCCTGCCCGGGAAGACTGAGGAGGCAATGATTCTATATACGCCATTTTCAATCAAGCGATAGTTTTTTAATGGCGTAATATCAAAGAATAGTTCATGTGGCTGGGACAGAATTATACAACAAATTTTAATCAGAAGTACTGTTTATGTTTCAATCTCAAGTCACATCGCATCATTTCCCTAAACTGGAACCAGGTAAACTTTACGGTAAATAGAGTAACATTACTTACGATAGATTATGTGCCAGTTCTGGATCCATTGTTGTATAATTGTTAGTCACTGTTGTGTTGTAATATCCAAACCCGCTCTCCATTTTGCTGAATATTGCAATGTTGATCAGTAAGTATATTCTGCTCCGCCTTCCCACGCTTCGTCAATGCAATACCTATCGATAAAGCCTAACCATCACAGTTGAAAACCATTGTCGAAATAAGATACAGCTGATATTCAATACATCTTCATAACGGTAACATTTCTTATATATTCGAATATGTATTCTTTCCTGAGTAGTCTGTTCAAAACAACCTGCATTTATTATCAGATGATTTTTACTGAATCATTTGTAGTAAAATTAAGCTAAAAGTCTAAAACAATTTTTCAAAACAATATGAGTTTGTACTTTCCAATATACCATACCTGTATGGCGGTAGCGATTCCATAAAATCAAATTTTGAAACAAAGTTAGTGATAAAGTTACTTTTACTATAAAGCAAGTACGAAACTCTTCGCGGTATATATAAAAACTTGGGAAAATTATTTGGCATCTTCATACCAGGCCTATTGGCCGCAAAAAAAAAAACATTGATCAAAAATACCATTTTTAATGCAATTCTTCGTAAATTACGTTCTAAGGATATTGCTTTGAAAGATAAATGAACGTTGTCGTGTTTCTTTAAACAATTTGGAAATTCCGTAAGATATTATGGAATTTAGACAAGATCGCTTTTCGTGTAGCAAATACGTGACATCTTTACAAAGCGTAGTTTAAAATTAATCAACCTAGTATAAAGACAACGAAATTGATTAGTTTTTTTTTTCTGAGTTCATTTGTGCTGTTCAAATGTTCAGCACTTGACAACTACACATGTAATATATGCATACAATACCAGATAAGCTGTATCAATATTGTTTTTGTTTTAGTTTATGCAGTATTTTTATGGAATAAAATTAGTTTATTAATAAATTGTACAAAGTCGGCAAGATTTTTTTTCATAAAGTTATATATTAAGGTTAATAACTGCCTGTTCTGATCATTCTACCATACTTTAGCCACCTCTTTCAAAGTATTTAAAGTAGAGAACTTAAAAAAATAAGTGGATCTGTAATAATAAATGTGTTGATCAATGACAAATACAAAAATACGTGTACCTGGACAGTGGTTCGGCTGAATACCAATATAAATTTTATGCAACCGAACGAATGGTCTTGCTCTATCTTACTTTTATAGAACACATAATCATTTCAGAAAATTGCTGTATCGTTTTCATTTAAAAAAAAGTTCAAGATCAGTGAATTTAATACACTTCGAATTCGACTTCAAACAACAATCTAATCCAACTCATACATAAAATGAATAATTCAAACTTTTATTCTGTGTGATTGGTTGTCAAATAACGTCAGAACGAAACATAATACAACAAGTTACGTCACGATTAACTTCTAGCTTTTAAAAATGAAACAGTCGGCCAAGCACGAAAAACTAAACTCTGATCGTACAATTTGTATTTCCTTCATCTTCATTCTCTATTCATAGATTGTATTTGGTGTACTGTGGAATGTAGAATAAACAAAAGTTTCGAATTTGATCAATATTTGAATATAAAGTCCAATTTTAGAAACAATACTCTGAACAGCAAATTTTAAACAATGTTTCGTGTGTCCATTTATTGTTCAGTAATCCCGACAAGTATTCAAAAGTTGCATTGACGTTTTTTTGTCAATGTTGCGTTTAGTTTAAACCGAAAGCAATTTCGTTATCGTTTAATTTATAAGAAAAAGATGACTTTCTGAAAATACAGTAAACACTTGTTCAAAGTATAACTTTGAAGAAAGTTCAAATTCGCATCAAAGTGAAACAATCCCCAATAGTTCTGATTTATTGATTTAATAAACTTGATCTGACACAGAATACACTGAAAGCTGAAATTGCAATTCAAACAAAAAGAGATGCAATAAAATATTATCAACATGCAAAAGGATTCAACACCAACAATATCTTTTTTCAATAAAGACTTCAACTACGAATCGATGATTGTATTATTACGATAGGTATTGACACCGAAGTTGCTCGGAATGGCATGGTAGAACATACTTACCGACCAACATTCTCATATTAAAAGCAAAATTGATAGCGGCTTTGAATATTGCAACATAAATATTCTAATAACCATACAACAATAGACGAAGATTTAGAAGATAATCTATCTTATCTTAAGTAATTTTTTTGAATACGAAACATTAAATATTATGAAAAAATATTTTACATGTTCATCAGTTTGAATTTTCATGGACCAAATAATTCAAATTCTACTCTTTAAGCCGTATGCAGTGCCATGTATAGGAACAAAATGTGGCCTAAAAGTTATTCGAATCGGCTCATATTAATACCCATTTAGGCTATTATTCATCTCTGAATGTGGTTTGATCTTTTTTTCACGGCCTGAAAAATATATTTTCATTCAAGATATTTTCACATTCGGAAGCTTTGGCACTGAATTTAATCATTGGAATATTGTGTGCCGTCGTAAAAGCAAGCAATGCAATAACTTTCGTCGCGATTGCGAGGTCATCTCGTCTTAACAAGTAAGCTAAGAGTAATTTTTCATAAATAAATCATTTATGCTGCAATGTTCTATCTTGCTTCATCTGCCAAGAACTTTACGTCTAATATATTTTTATCATTTTCTATCATATGATCAAATGATAGAAAATGATAAATATCAATGTTACAAATTAGAATCAAAATAAAAAGTAATAAATAAAAATTTGATAAATTGCAATAATATAACTAAAGTTCTGATAAAAACCAACTATAGAAACTCTATTACACGTTTGGTGATTCAATAGTTCTCAGTAGCTGGGAAATATAGCCTAGGGGTGTGCCTATTGCAACAGAAGGCCATTAATGTTTTCCAGACTAAATAAGAGTTTTTTGACGACAATAAATCTATTCTATAAATGACATTGATGAAATCTACAATGGAGTGAATTATTTACTTGATACCACAAATGACAGCAATTTTCGCCCTCATTGTGGTGAAATCTAATAGCTGGAACGCTAATATCGGCATCTGTGATTGCGTCGCGGTGAAATTATATAATATATTATGTTCTATATATAACGTATTCACAATCATCATCCTGAGCTTATTACTAGAATTCCATGGATGACTGGGGACCGTTGTAATAACGTTTACATTAACAACACTCGATGACTATTTAATCTCTTATTAGATGCGGGAACCTCGCCTAATCTACTCCAACACACACCGATTTTCATATTTCAGACCATAAATATCGTATATCAGAGCGCAAATTGACTGTTGTCATTACTGCTAAACACTCAATTGAATTGCGTAGGACAGCGGTTTCCAAAGGGGGCGATTTGCTAAGTGCGCCCTGAAATTTACCAGAAACATAACTTTTTTAATTGAATATATTACATATTGTATTTATTATAAATGTTTTATTGTTTCCTATTTTAAATGTCGTGTTTTTTAATAAATAAATTTCTTTTACCTTGCAGTGTCGTTTATTTTCTGACATGTAGTGTATCCCTTTATTGCTATGTACCAATAGATAATTAGAGGCGCACACTACTTTCTGCAATTTTGCGAAATGCAGTTTCTTTATCTACTGAACCGAGTTTAGTGAACTTAGTGGTTTTTAGTAGTTCAAAAGAAAAATCAGGCAGAGATGAGGAAGAAGAGTTGACATTGCCTTTATTCTTTAGGCCTACATGTTTACAAGCTTCAAAAATAATAAAGTACACATTAACGATGACAAAATTGAGTTTTATTTCTTGACAGCATTTTTTTGCGCAAGTGCGCCGTGAGTTTTTTTTTCTGATAATCTGGCGCCGCACGAACAAAAAGTAGGAACCGCTGGTGTAGGGTATGATCATGGCGGGCTACTTATCCTGCGGCTGCAAAAAATAGTAATATACGGTAGCAAATTGGATAATATCAAACCGCGTGATATCAGAAGTATCTCATTTCACAAGGGTTTTCGACTACGAGGCTTTTTCGATAGGTATTGCATTGACGACGCGTGGAAAGGCAGAGCAGAATATAGTTACTGATCAGCAACACAATATTTAGCAAAATGGAGAGCGGATTTGTATATTACAACACAACAGAAGCTAATAATTATACAACAATGGATCCAGAACTGGCACATAATCTATCGTAAGTAATGTTACTTTATTTATCGTAAGGTTTAGCTGGTTCCATTTTAGGGGAATGATGCGATGTGACTTGAAATTGAAGCATAAACAGTTCTTCTGATTAAAATTCGGTGTATATTTCTGTCCTAGCCACATGAACAATTCGTTTGCACATTACAACATTCAAAAATTCTCGCTCGATTGAAAACGTCGTATATAAAATTATTGCCTCCTCAGTCTTCCCGGGGAGGCATATACTAAATTTCTGACTTACATCAAAGTCTCTGAAAGGCAATATTCGAACTTTCAAACAATATGCATGTACTGAGCGAAGATATTCTCGTATACATTTAATCGTAAATATATTTATATATATATGAAGATAGAAATAGTTCAATGATTTTTTGCATATTTTCTAGATGCAAAACTATGGTAATGACGTTGAAACGTTTGTAATAATGGAGAGTGTTATTTTTGCCAACCGTGAGCTAGATTCATATCTATTTGTTGGAAAAAAGACTACTGTTTAAATTGATGTTCATGTCTAAAATAAAAGTTGACCCAAATGTTTGGGTGTAAAATAAGTCGAAGTCGAAGGTATTATTTTTAGTATGCAAACGAGAAAATTTAAAATCTTTATTTCAGAATGTTTTCATATTCCGAAGCTTTGGCGATGAATATAATTATCGGAGTATTATGTGTCGTCGGAATAGCAAGCAATGCTATAACCTTCGCCGTTATTGCAAGTTCACCTCGTCTTAACAAGTAAGATCTCAATATATTTAATGAGCCTTACAAATTAAAGTTTCTTCGACTTAACAAAATTTTCATATGTTTTACCATTGCACAATTTTTGATGCTTTTTTTGAGTATTTCCGCGAGTTGGCTGCTGATTAGCCAATAATACGGAATTTGACAATGGAGTCAACCTCGACTCAAAAATTAAATGAGAAAATGAGCGTCAAAACTTTTTCAGTTGCTTTAAATCTATTGGTGCGTGGCCTTATTGCAGTCAATTAGGTAATTCGTAATTCACAAACAAGGATGACAAAGAATCAAGACTTGCTGCAAGTTATTTAATTTTCGAACGGGAATACCAATGGTGTTCAGAAATTCAAATCTTTAATCGTACGGTGTGAAATTATTATGTCAATATAGAAAGACTCAAAATTCCTTAAATAGTTCGACGAAAATTTATGTAACATTTGAACTCATTTTTGTGAATAATTGTAAAAGTTTTAGTAACCGAGGACGCTCTTCACCAAAGTTATATTCTCATTATAAAAGTTATTCTCTAAATTTTTAGAATTGTCGAGTCTCGTGCCACACCGTTTGATAACGTCTGCTCTAGAACAGGGCTACTCAACTGGCGGACCGCGGTCCTCCATCCTCCCAAATCCGTACCATTTCGACTATTTGATTCGGACAGCACCTAATTATTTTCTTTTGGATCATTAGCCCCACTTTTAAAGTTTCATTTTATAAAATGACTTTTATTGTTTTGAATATATATGAAAAAAACTATAACACCATAATAAACAATCTTGATTAGCTGATATATTAGCCGGTCGAGGAAGTGCACGTTTAGAGATGTGAAATATGATTTCTGCAAACACCAGACCCAAATAAATTTGAAGTTTTGTATGCGGATCTTTGATAAAAAAAAGTTGAGTAGCCCTGCTCTAGAATATGTTCCAAATGATCTGGATTCTGTTTTTTTTTTTGAGAGTGGTCACACCCTGATTAAATGTAATTTTTATTTCTTTTCACTCTTCCAAATCGTTCAGAATGGTGTTCAATATATTTTTGATGGGATTGATGGCATCTGACCTTGCATCAGCTGCAGACAGCTTATTTGTCATATATAGAATGACGTATGGAGCCGCTAGCTATGGTCTACCGCTCATTATATGCAAGGTGAGTTATGTCTTTATAGTGTAACTTCCTTTTTTAAGCCAAATTTTGCTGTGTGTTGTGTAGCTTGGTGTATGCGGTAATCTTATATATCACCTCATTTACAGATTTCCATTACTGTTGATTTTATGACCTCAATAGCAACAATTCATCTGGTGATGGTTTTTTGTATTTTGAGACTTCTATCGATTAAATACCCCATGAAGATTTCCGTGTACCTAACTTTGAAAGTTGCTAAGGTAAAAGAGAAATGCTCAAATATATGGACACGAAACTCAAATGACTAAATTCGATTCGAATTAAATGTTAATAGAAAGTTCCGAATGTCATATAAAGATGTGCCAGTGAATTTTAGAAACTAGCAAAATTTGGTGATGGATATTGGGCTTAGAAATCTGACAAATAAAACTTTAAAATCGATTGGTTCATTAATTGTGAATAAAGGTCTTCATTTAATAACCAAGAATAACAATAAAAAAAGATTTATTGGTCCGCTTTTTGCGCAATATTTGCCGTTGAATTATTGTCGTGTCAGTAATTTAATTAATAGACCTACTTCATACAGAGGGTTGGATATTGGACTGCCCTTTATACATAAAAAAACGGCTAGCTATTTATAAGGCGTTTATGTCTCGTGTTCTAGATTTGTGTCATTGTTCTGTGGATTGAATCGGCGCTGTCGATTAGTGCTTACTATTTCAAAATCGTTTCAATAAAGTCTGCAGTTACGAGACAGGGTATCGGTTTTGCATGCGCGATTGGCGATGAATGGTAAGTAATCCATTGTTTACGTTTGTCAACTACGTCAGCATTTTATAGATTTTACAAAATTCTTCAAGTAAACGAAATTTCGTTACCTACTTCTAATATTTTATCTTCCTATTAGAAACGTGATTTTGTTAGAATTATATCCATTGGTTATAGTTTAGGGCGTGACAAAAATAAGCGTGTGGTTGAAATAAACGGGTTTCCGTAGAAAAGGGATTATAGAAGCACTCTTCTCCTAATTTCAAAATTTCTAGATAAAAACCCAAAGCAAAATTTGGCAAAATCAATAGATTTTGTCAGTATGTAGATTTGGAATGACAAATCAGAAATGAAGGAGGGTTTTGAGTAGGAGAAATTATTAAGGAAATTACACATTTTGTCTATGAAAATTTTTTGACCGCTTACTGCTTTCACAGGGCGCCTTCTGCAGAACTGTACAGAACAATTGCTTTCCCATTCGTGGTCTACATTCCAATGGTAGTGATCATTCTATGTACAATATTCACCATCATAACCTTGTTGAAGACATCACGAACACGGAAAAGTAGACGTATATTTTATCCGATATTACACCTGCTTAAACAAAAGCAAATATCACTCTTTTTTTTGCAAATAATAATAGATTCGCAATAAATCTGAGTTTACTAAAACTTTTGGCAATAATTTCAAACTGTTACGATATTCCCTTTGATATTATATTTTTGTTTCTATCCAAATCATTTATAATCATGTAATGGTGCGTGTCGTTTAGGACTAGAGACGGGAAATCAGAATAACAATTCTCACCATTTTTATTTTATTTGTAAATGCTCTTATTTTGTCACCATAGATTGCATAGATAGAACGACGAATTGACTCAGTATCAAGACCTTTCGAATCGGCCTACGCCCTACGTAAATCTGTTAGGTTTATTCATTCAAGTGACATTCAAGTGACTATTACATAAAAAAAAGGATTTTCAGAACCCTGTGTTCGACTGTGAATTATTTCGATTGAGAACCTTAATACTCATTTAATTGGCATCAGACAGCGACAATCTGTTCATTTCTGTGTATGACAAGGAGGTGTCAACTATCTGGATGGCGTGGCTGCAGTCATTAGTGCGAATTACTGAATCGCCTCATATATAGGGCTGGGCATTTTCGAATATCTGATTATTTCAGAATTGAATCGAATATTCTCTCGAATCGAATCTCGAGTACCTGGGAGATATGTAATTGTATGTTACTTTTTCATTGCAATTTGTCCTGTCAACAAATAAATCCCCGAAAACATCACCCAGACAGGTTACTGTGCATTCAAACACAATAATAAACACCTTTAATCAGTAACTCACTACTGCCCTAGTAGTATATATTTACGCTACTGCAGAAAATAGTCATATGTCAGAATTGCGTTGAAAAAATATGGCTTCAATATAAGAAAATTTGAAGAATTCACCTCGACTTTTGGCGAAAAACAAGATGGCGACAATTCGAAATTTTGCTCTGAACCGATTCGAATAATTTACTATTCGATTCGAATTTTCGATTTTAAATGCCCAGCCCAACTCACATGTAGCCTATATTTTAACATAAGTGACGTTTCATTGTTACTAAAACAATCAGAACAATCTCAATATTTTTCCAAACTTAGTTCGACGTCATTCTTCTAATTCATCGACGATATCCAACGAGAAAGTTGCAACTCTACAAGTTTCTTTGATTTTATTGTCTTTTTTCTTTGGATACGGTCCTTTTGTAGGTAAGTTTTTGCACTTGAAAATAACGTAAAAATACAAATAATAATGTAGTGTTTTTATTTAATAGATAAATCAGCACCGCTGGATGTGGTTGATTTTTTTTGCTTGATCAATTGCATAGTTACCATAGTACATAACTTCGAAAATTTTCCATTACAATGCGAAATAAGATATTGATTTGCTCCTAAAACTGGTTATGAGAAAGATATTATTATCCAAAACAAAGTTGATTCTTGTTAGTGCTGGTAAGTATCCATCAAGACAGAAAATGTCATCGAGGAGTCTCGCCCACGTATGAATGCTGCTGGTTAAAAAAAGCGCTCCGGAAGTATGTGTACCAAGATGACGCACAAACTGAATCGTAATTCGGTACACATACTGTGTTCATATTGTGCGCCATATTGGTACATATACTTCGGGAGCCCAGAAAAAAATGGATTAAATTACTTACAAACTCAATCATTAAAAACGTCACATGTTATACTAGATGCTTCATATTTGCAGTATACACTTGGATTGTTCTACAAAAGATGACCGATGGTTCCAAGTTTTCCAGTCGCGAAAATTGGCTTCTTGCGGTTTGGACATTTGTTGCACTTCGGATAAGCGAATGCGTGAATCCTTTGTTTTACAATTTATCTTCCAGGTAGGATTTATTTAACTTGGCATTAAGATTATATTAAAAATAGTCGCAATCATACATCACATATTTACTACATTCTACTTAGTCTATTCATCCGTTCCTTAATTTATTTTGGATACATGTAAAAGTCAACAAACGCGACCCGATTTTTGTTGTTGTGTAACGATTGATCCGAACGTTTTCTTTGTGAAGAAAGAGGAGATTGAAAATACAATTATGGGTGAAGGGATAGTTACGTAGTCAGACATGGTGAACTCAGTTCTACATAATGTATTGCATTCGAACAAATATCATGCACTGCACTCAAAAATATATATTTAACAAATGCGTTATTTACGATTTCTAATGTCGATGTAAATATTTTATCAGCAAATTGAGAAGGGCTACAAAACAATTCCTCCGACGTGGTTTTACGAAACGGGCTGTCACACCATCACCTTCGATTAAAACAATATCTGGAAGACGATGAAACACATACAAACTGCTGCTATGTATATATAAATGGATATAAGGACACGGTTTTCATGATGTAGAATAAACATTCGAAAGAAGGATATAAAAAATGTGTGTTTTTTTTTCTTTAAATATATTTGAAAAACCTTTTCAATTGTTAAAGAATAGTCTATGAGCGGCGCCCATTTATTAAGAAAGAAACGCCCGAAAACAAATTTATAGTCTGATTTTTTAACTGTTATTATTATTATTATTATTTTAATGGTGCTTATAACTGACTTAGTTTTGTGCACCAGGACTATCTATGATATTACGCGTTGGGTGTTCTAATGCTTCGGTCCGTTATGAGAACGTATTCTATAACAAAAGATTGAATTCTGGGAATGGTTAGTAAATTAATAAGATTTACGGGCCTATATTCAGTTCTTTACAATGATTAATTAAAAATGATCTTGGGAAGTCATAGCGGGGACAATGTAATATTAAATGTTCGACGGTTTCGTTTTCAAGCAAGTGTCACAAAGCCCATTGTCGTGGAGTCCGATTTAATGGAGATGATGGTTCGAACGACAGTAGCCTGTTTGTAGTCTGAACAGTATTATTTCATATCTTCTAGATAATTTGCAGGAAATATGATCTTTAACAGATGGGAAGAATAATTTGAAGTGTAGAGCTTTTTTTAGTGTGATATTGTAGCAAGTACATAAGGATAGTTACTGTGTATTTTAATATTTTCACCACTTATTGTTAGTAGTGCATGTTATTTGCTTGAAACAAGGTCGTTGTCCCAATTCATTTCCTTTATGATATATTTTTCTCGCTCAGTGTAGCTTGTCTTTGCCGTTCTTTGTTAGTTAGAAATTGGGTTTCATCACATATACTTGCTTTAAGGTTTCAAGTGTAATTCGTTATTTGGATCAATTCGATTGTGCAACTTTACAATATAACAATTGGCATTCAAAAGATCCTTCAACCGGAGGTATCTCAATCAAATTGGTTTTCCTGTGTCGTTGCATTAGTTGGTCATCAGCGACTTTGATGCAGAATTAAATACACCAATACATGGCAAATTTTACGACATATTATTCAATCAGAAATCGTTATTAGCTAGTCTTGCAAAATTTAAAAATTAGCGAACTAATTTTTTTCATTGTCGGGGGGAATTGTGTAGCAAGTACATAAGGATAGTTACTGTGTATTTTAATATTTTCACCACTTATTGTTAGTAGTGCATGTTATTTGCCTGAAACAAGGTCGTTGTCCCAATTCATTTCCTTTATGATATATTTTTCTCGCTCAGTGTAGCTTGTCTTTGCCGTTCTTTGTTAGTTAGAAATTGGGTTTCATCACATATACTTGCTTTAAGGTTTCAAGTGTAATTCGTTATTTGGATCAATTCGATTGTGCAACTTTACAATATAACAATTGGCATTCAATACATTGTGTGCTTTTTGACCTCTGAAGGAGTCAAGATCGGAGTTACACTCTGTTAACGTGTGTTCAATAACACGGGAGTGTGGACACGCAGATAGGGTCGAATCTTTGTTGCCCTATAATATACTAGTTGTTCCAATCCATGTCGCACTTTGAATCGATCATTGACTTTGATTCGTTTTTCGAGAGTTTGATGACTGTTGTTAAACTACTGTCTTGCATTGTTGCTTCTTTTGCTAGTTTATCTGCCCTTTCGTTGCCAGCAATTCCAACATGTCCTGGGATCCACGCGAAATCTACGAAAATATTTTGCCTCCTGAGAGAAGATAAAATAGTTTTAATTTTAAAAAACAACATATGATATATATATACAGAGTAAATGCTACTTAATCTCTGCAAAAGGCCCAGATAATCCGTTAAAATCAAAACATGTGACGGCCTATGCAAAACTATCCAAAGCAATGCTCTGTATACAGCATAAAGTTCAATTGTGAACGAACTTAACATTTTGTCAATTGTAAAAGGTTTGGAAACGTCATACTTTAAAATACAAAATGAAGAGCCACATTCCGTATACGTCTTTGATCCATCCGTATAAATCAATAAGTACTGGCCGTAATTTTTGATAATATATTCATCACATGCTTGTTTACTTATATGTAAGGGATCTGTTTTCGAAATAATATTAGCAAGCGACACATCAATATTTGGAAGTTTCATTTCCCGAGGCGGTGACTGAAGAGCTGTTATACAATTAATTGAAATTTGCTTGAAAACATCCCATATGGTTAGCATGTTGAAGGTTTGAAAAAAGGGCGACTTTAGGTAAAGCTCGTGCCAAGTTTGTTCTATTATGTTGGTTTTCGGATATTGCGTGATCGATAAAATTTTGCACTTATATCCAGTGATGAGCTGGGAAAATCGTAACAACCGGAACGCAGCTAATTTGTGAAAATGTAATATATATTTACAACATGACGCGGACGCTACCACAAATTTTTGTCTGTCCTAAGATAGAGCCGAAGGACTACAATGAAATATAAAGAAATTATCTGGTATATGCCTGTTCAAAATTACAAGAATATTTAAACCAATTCAATACGAATATGTTTATTAGAAAGATATAGGATGAAATTTCACGGGGTCAGAGGTCGGCGAAACATCCATTACACGTTATTGCTGTGCACTAAATATTTGTCTGCTGTAATGTAAAAAAAGTTATGGCGTAACTAGACGTAAGTTAATAAGTAAGTTTACAAGATGTACTAGAACTAGACTTTCTATGACATAATTTTATTTCAACAACCGGAACGCAAATGCAATAAAATGTCTAACGACCGGAACGCCGTTCTGGTGCGTTCCGGCTACAGCTCATCACTGCTTATATCTCATGCAAGCCTGTCGGTGACGAAATTCAAGCGGAATCTCATTACAGGCAACAGTTAGGCAGCAGATCGGTGTGCTGGGCAAAATACCGCAGCAAATACGAAGCGATTTATTTTGAATTATCGATATTTTCCTAATTACATACTTTTGTGCAAAATAATAAGCTTCTATTCCGTATTCAATTATTACGTATTAGAACCCTGTATAATTATAAAGTTTCTTTGGAAGCTCCCCATGTTGTGCCTGTCAAAAGTCTCAACAGATCTTTTATCACATTTGTGTGTTACATGTTCTACATGTGCTTTGCATGTCAACTTCTCGTCGAATATAACGCCAAGGTATTTATACTCGACTTTAACCGGCAACTCCTGTCCGTCAATGTAGAGATGCAATGGTGGAGGTTTACGTGATCTTGAAAACAATACAGCACATGATTTTGTCATTGAGATGTTAAATCCCCACGCTTGACACCACAAACTGATTTGATTTAATGTTATTTGCATATCCGATATAAGTTCGTTGATTCTTATACCAATCTCCCATGCGGCGCAATCATCTGCAAATGTTCTGAATGTCAAAGAAATGTATTTTGGAAAATCATTTATAATAATTGGAAAAATAAATAAACTTATCACGCTACCTTGAACAATCCCATTTTTCAATTTAAAACTGTTAGAAGTATAGATCCAACCCGATCTTGAAAAGGCCTGTTTGACAAAAATGACTTTATCCATAATAAGATTCGACCCTATATATATACCAGAGATGGCGAACCTTTTTCGACGAATGGGTCAAAAAATTATATTTTTATCACGGAACAGAAGAGTGTGGGTCACAAATAGTTAATCAATGTTAGTATCTATAAGAAACTTGCTGCTGCATCCTATCTTTCAAATCTTATAAGCTTCGGTTGGTGTTGTGTAGCTTCGGGCTTTATTTATGCAGCACTTCAACCAGAGACTACTGGACTGTTAATGACACTCAATTTTATGAAATTCGTGTACAAAAACACGCATATTATGAATTACCCCAAAACGTTTAGAATGATGCGGCAAATTATTTTGCGCGCCAAAGAGTTTGGAGGGAATTCCACTCTGATAGAGTTTTATTTTTCGATTGGCTTTGAGGGGACACGGCGGTTTCGCTTTTCATTCGCGAGTTTGAGCTGTTGCTTCATTGAGTGCCAATGTTTCACCGGGAGTGTACTGGATCAGGTACATTTTCTTTGAAGGTTTAAGGTACTGTACTATATATATTATGCTGGCCATATTAGATAGGATGTCCGGGTAAGAGTACCCGACAGCACGGAAGTCCGGTACGGGTGCAGGTCATACAGTTTTTCAAGTTGTGTTAGTTAGTCTGTCTACCGGCACCACCGCTTACTACCGCGTTTCCCTGAAAACCGGACCTAGTCTGAATTATGAAAATTATTGTAATATAAGCCATCCCCTTAAAATGAGACCTAGTCCATACTCCATAGCCTAAATTAGAAGAGATTGTAACCTAGGTGGCAAATTTGTGGAGCAAAATCACAGACTGAAAGACATGTGTTTTGCTGTTGCTGACCTGACTACACAAGGTGAATATAAATTGTAATCGAAAACCTCACAAAATAGAGTATGACAAACCTTTGAAATATAGCATTGGGCTCCGATGATGAAATCCAAAAGACTCCAATGATGAAATAACAAAACATATTGATTTCAAACAATCATATATTATAGTATATATTTCAATATGTACAATGGCAAGGTGAAATGACACAAAGTTTCCTAAATGCCGATATGACATGGCTGTTTAACATATATAATGTTCATTGCCGTTTTCGATTTTATATAATACCTATATAATATTTACATTAAAAACATGAACTATGACGAAGTTTAAATTTGACTGTGAAATAGGAAAACAGTCTCAGTGAACTTACTGCCACCAACTATTTGATATTTGATGAAGCAAAATCCATTCATCACGACTGTAAAAGCTTCTATTACTTTCATTCTTAAAATCAGCACCATTTTTATACAATTCACGATTCGTTCGCTGTTCTACATAGGTATTATATTCAAAAATTTGCATTGAACCTTATTTATCATGTATGTTTTTCTCAATGTAGTAAAATTCAAACAAAGTGTACCCTTTATAAGCATGCTTGGTTGGGGATTATGTTCTCTTTTTGTTGCATTATATTTTGAACCTAGGGGGAAGGGGGGAAGGTTGGGACACTTTTTTTCTTTTGCATATTTTGAGCCGTTAATTCTGCATATTCTCTTAAGTTTGCGGGACTAATGCATAGAGGGGTAAATGTAGTTTTTATTCAGCAACAAAGAAATTCCCTTGCGACACACATCTTACTACCAAAATGCTTTGAAAAACGTCTGTCAAGTGTCCCACTGTACCCCACTGGTGGGGCACAATCGGACAGACCCTGGGGCACAATGGGTCAGTCTGTCAAAATTCAACAAAGTATGCCCTTAAAAATAAGCAATTAATCAGCATAATCGCCTAAAGTACGGGGAGACTTCGAATTTGAAGATTTAATATTTTTAAAATCAATGTTCAACTGAAATAGTTCAGATATTTTGACAAAACATTTTGCAAAAAAATTTGATTATTTCCTTCCTCGAATCTAAATCTGGAAATATTATTGATTCTCGAATATATTCCATATTGGGCCATGGGTCAAAAGAAACCATTATATTACACAAAATATAACGCATCTCTAAGTCTCTAAGCACCTATTGTATCAAACACTGTCGAATTGTGCCCTGTAGAGCATGTCCCACTGAACCCCGGTCCATTGTTCCCCATAGGAAACAAATACTTT